TTAGCACCAGGGCCCCATGGATTGTGTGTACGCCACTGACTGTAATGGTTGTGATGCTTGGAGTTTATTCCTGATTGAGTAGCTATAAGTCGCAATGACAAAGTTAGCAAACACGTTTAACTTCTTCATCTTGTCTGTAAATAACCGAAGTAAGCCATCGCTATTAACCGCAACAGTTAGTAATGGCTTCCAACCTTTACACGATTATCGGCTGGCCTTTCTCTCCCCATGCAACCATTAACCCAGTGTCTTTCCTTATTTCCTCCAATATGTTGAGATTTAACGGGAAATCGTGGTTTTGCTTCTGCAGATTCTGTGTCTGAGGCTATTCCGGTGATATTCTGGTCGAGTATTCTTTGTGATTGAGCAGCCTCACTGACCCTTAAAGCAAAGCACTGGGGTAGCACAGCGAAAAAGCCTGGCTAGTAACTAGTATTTATGCAAAAACAAAGGTCACTTCTATTAAAGTTTAGATTTATTAGCAGTGATAACAGTTTTCTTATCGCCATCTGTGAGATCATTGCTCTTCAATTATGACATATAATCTTATCTTTTAGTGGCCAAACCCCTCATTTTTGCAAACCCTTACCAAAAATTAGTAAAAAAGAGGGTTATGTCATTGATTTGATTTGGGTGTCTATTTCAGTTTAGCAATTGGTAGTATTTACTCAGTCTCGTGATTTGAGTAACAAACTATTTAATCCGCCACCGGGTTTAATGCTTTATTATTTAAAGCAGACCTGTCACTTTAAAATATTTAAAATATACAATTTCTATTAGACAATACTTTTCTGATACAATTGCACAATACACTTTCTGATGGGTGTAGTATACTGCACCTGTCTCAGTGTTGGGGTGCAGTATATGTTACCTGTCTCAGTGTTGGGGTGCAGTATGTGTTACCTGTCTCAGTGTTGGGGTGCAGTATGTGTTACCTGTCTCAGTGTTGGGGTGCAGTATGTGTTACCTGTCTCAGTGTTGGGGTGCAGTATGTGTTATCTGTCTCAGTGTTGGGGTGCAGTATGTGTTACCTGTCTCAGTGTTGGGGTGCAGTATGTGTTACCTGTATCAGTGATGGGGTGCAGTATGTGTTACCTGTCTCAGTGATGGGGTGCAGTATGTGTTACCTGTCTCAGTGATGGGGTACAGTATGTGTTACCTGTCTCAGTGATGGGGTGCAGTATGTGTTATCTGTCTCAGTGCTGGGGTGCAATATGTGTTATCAGTCTCAGTGCTGGGGTGCAGTATGTGTTAGCTGTCTCACTGTTGGGGTGCAGTATGTGTTTCCTGTCTCAGTGTTGGGATGCAGTATGTGTTGCCTGTCTCAGTGTTGGGGTGCAGTATGTGTTACCTTTCTCAGTGTTGGGGTGCAGTATGTGTTACCTGTCTCAGTGCTGGGGTGCAGTATGTGTTACCTGTCTCAGTTGGGGTGCAGTATGTGTTAGCTGTCTCATAGCTGGGGTGCAGTATGTGTTACCTGTCTCAGTGTTGGGGTGCAGTATGTGTTACCTGTCTCAGTGTTGGGGTGCAGTATGTGTTAGCTGTCTCATAGCTGGGGTGCAGTATGTGTTATCTGTCTCATGTTGGGGTGCAGTATGTGTTACCTGTCTCATAGCTGGGGTGCAGTATGTGTTACCTGTCTCATAGCTGGGGTGCAGTATGTGTTATCTGTCTCAGTGTTGGGGTGCAGTATGTGTTACCTGTCTCAGTGTTGGGGTGCATCTCATGTGTTACCTGTCTCATAGCTGGGGGCAGTATGTGTTACCTGTCTCAGTGTTGGGGTTTATGTGTTGCCTGTCTCAGTGTTGGGGTGCAGTGTGTGGCTGTCATGGCTGGGGTGCAGTATGTGTTACCTGTCTCATAGCTGGGGTGCAGTATGTGTTACCTGTCTCATAGCTGGGGTGCAGTATGTGTTGCCTGTCTCAGTGTTGGGGTGCAGTATGTGTTACCTGTCTCAGTGTTGGGGTGCAGTATGTGTTACCTGTTCTCAGTGCTGGGGTGCAGTATGTGTTATCTGTCTCAGTGTGCAGTGTATGTGTTCTGTCTCAGTGTTGGGGTGCAGTATGTGTTACCTGTCTCAGTGCTGGGTGCAATATGTGTTACCAGTCTCAGTGCTGGGGTGCATGTGTTAGTCTGTGTTGCCTGTCTCAGTGTTGGGGTGCAGTATGTGTTACCTGTCTCAGTGTTGGGGTGCAGTATGTGTTACCTGTCTCAGTGCTGGGGTGCAGTATGTGTTAGCTGTCTCAGTGTTGGGGTGCAGTATGTGTTACCTGTCTCAGTGTTGGGGTGCAGTATGTGTTACCTGTCTCAGTGTTGGGGTGCAGTATGTGTTACCTGTCTCAGTGTTGGGGTGCAGTATGTGTTATCTGTCTCAGTGTTGGGGTGCAGTATGTGTTACCTGTCTCATAGCTGGGGTGCAGTATGTGTTATCTGTCTCAGTGTTGGGGTGCAGAATGTGTTACCTGTTTCATAGCTGGGGTGCAGTATGTGTTATCTGTCTCAGTGTTGGGGTGCAGTATGTGTTACCTGTCTCATAGCTGGGGAGCAGTATGTGTTATCTGTCTCATAGCTGGGGTGCAGTATGTATTGCCTGTCTCGGTGCTGGGGTCCAGTATATGTTGCCTGTCTCAGTGTTGGGGTGCAATATGTGTTACCTGCCTCAGTGCTAGGGTGCAGTATGTGTTACCTGTGCCAGTACTGGGGTGCAGTATGTGTTGCCTGTCTCAGTGTTGGGGTGCAGTATGTGTTGCCTGTCTCAGTGTTGGGGTGCAGTATGTGTTGCCTGTCTCAGTGTTGGGGTGCAGTATGTGTTACCTGTCTCAGTGCTGGGGTGCAGTATGTGTTATCTGTCTCATAGCTGGGGTGCAGTATGTATTACCTGTCTCGGTGCTGGGGTGCAGTATGTATTGCCTGTCGGTGTTGGGGTGCAGTATGTGTTACCTGTCTCAGTGCTGGGGTGCAGTATGTGTTACCTGTCTCAGTGTTGGGGTGCAGTATGTGTTGCCTGTCTCAGTGTTGGGGTGCAGTATGTGTTACCTGTCTCAGTGTTGGGGTGCAGTATGTGTTACCTGTCTCAGTGTTGGGGTGCAGTATGTGTTACCTGTCTCAGTGTTGGGGTGCAGTATGTGTTATCTGTCTCAGTGTTGGGGTGCAGTATGTGTTACCTGTCTCATAGCTGGGGGGCAGTATGTGTTACCTGTCTCAGTGTTGGGGTGCAGTATGTGTTGCTTTTCTCAGTGTTGGGGTGCAGTATGTGTTACCTGTCTCAGTGCTGGGGTGCAGTATGTGTTATCTGTCTCATAGCTGGGGTGCAGTATGTATTGCCTGTCTCGGTGCTGGGGTGCAGTATATGTTGCCTGTCTCAGTGTTGGGGTGCAATATGTGTTATCTGTCTCAGTGTTGGGGTGCAGTATGTGTTATCTGTCTCGGTATTGGGGTGCAGTATGTGTTACCTGTCTCAGTGTTGGGGTGCAGTATGTGTTACCTGTCTCAGTGTTGGGGTGCAGTATGTGTTATCTGTCTCATAGCTGGGGTGCAGTATGTGTTACCTGTCTCATAGCTGGGGTGCAGTATGTGTTACCTGTCTCAGTGTTGGGGTGCAGTATGTGTTACCCAGTTCCAGTGTAGCTGTGTGGCAGGCTGTATTGCCCGTCGCGTTAGTGCATGTGTTACCCGTCAAAGTTAGTGCAGTATGTGTTACCCGTCCCAGTGCTGGGTGCAGTATGTACACCCGTCCCAGTGTTAGTGCAGTATGTAAGCTTTCGCCTGTCTCAGTGTTAGCAGTGCAGCATGTGCTACCCGTCTTAGCGTAAGCTAGTGCAATATAAAGCTATCCGTCTCAGTTAGCTGGGGTGCAGCGTTACCCGTTCCAAAGTGTTAAAGTGCAGTATGTGTTTATCCTGGTCCTGTGCGTTGGGGTGCAGTGTGCTGTGTTATCTGTCTCAGTATTGGGGTGCAGTATGTGTTACCTGTCTCATAGCTGGGGTGCAGTATGTGTTATCTGTCTCAGTATTGGGGTGCAGTATGTGTTACCTGTCTCATAGCTGGGGTGCAGTATGTGTTACCTGTCTCAGTGTTGGGGTGCAGTATGTGTTACCTGTCTCAGTGTTGGGGTGCAGTATGTGTTAGCTGTCTCATAGCTGGGGTGCAGTATGTGTTACAAATTCGTCCCGGTGCTGTGCAGTACATGCTATGCTTTCGTCTACGCTCGTCTCAGTGTTGGGCTGGGTGCAATATGTGTTATCTGGTTCCAGTGTTGGGGTGCAGTGCTGTGTTACCTTTTGTTTCATAGCTGGGTGCAGTATGTGCTATCTGTCCAGTGTGCTGGGGTGCAGTATGTTACCTGTCCTATAGCTGGGTGCAGTATGTGTTACCTGTCTCAGTGTTGGGGTGCAGTATGTGTTGCCTGTCTCAGTGTTGGGGTGCAGTATGTGTTACCTGTCTTAGTGTTGGGGTGCAGTATGTGTTATCTGTCTCATAGCTGGGGTGCAGTATGTGTTACCTGTCTCAGTGTTGGGGTGCAGTATGTGTTATCTGTCTCAGTGTTGGGGGGCAGTATGTGTTACCTGTCTCATAGCTGGGGGGCAGTATGTGTTACCTGTCTCAGTGTTGGGGTGCAGTATGTGTTACCTATCTCAGTGTTGGGGTGCAGTATGTGTTATCTGTCTCAGTGTTGGGGTGCAGTATGTGTTACCTGTCTCATAGCTGGTTTGCAGTATGTGTTACCTCCCCTGTAAAATGTATATATTATTTCTATTGAAAGGCATCTCTAAAACCGGTAACCTAGGCAGACACATTTAGAGACCAAGCTGATCTGGAAGGATTGTGTATTACATGAAGTAGTCCTGTATCTTCTCTTCCATCTAGGCTACATGGTATCTGCTCTGTTTGCTGTCCACATTTCCACATCAATTGTTTGCAATTTCTCAATAGGTATCAGCAATGTGGTGAAACCTTGATAAGATTAAGTAGATGGACTTCTCCGGAAGCATTAACGTTGAGAAAAAGGAAGTTCCCAGCTAGAGTTTGCTGTAAACTTTTGTGAACATGTTATACGCAACCTGCATAACACATATACTGCGTATCCTGATAGACGTCTCTCTTTCTCTCTCGCTGCTGACAGCTTATTTGCAATGCAGATTGGGTCCTAGGTTATTTGTTTGAAGCGTCACTTGGTTATAAAATAGGATCACTTGGAGGTATGTCTGGAAATCAACGTATTGTTGGGCAAATGATGTGACCAGACACAGACTACAAAGAGGGTAAGCGGATTGCCCATGAGAAGAGAAGATGTCCATGCTAACTCCTATTCTCAGTCCAGTGGAGGTGAAGGCATACCTATCCAAAGGAGAACGCTTTATCAAATGGGACGATGTGAGTATACTGATTTCTGTTTTTGCTTTGCAACTTCCTGTATTTCCAATCATTTCCAGTTTTCTTACTTGCAGCTTTCCACTTTATATTTTACAAGTGAAATAAACATTTGCCCAGGAGCAATGCTTGATGCTATAGACGCTGGACCCAAGGGATCAGAAGCACAATTATCTGCTAATTGATACTGTACACACACCATTCACCTGCTTCTGAAATGGAAAAAAAATACTGATTATCCCAGTGTGTTTTCGCCCTTTGACATGGCGTGCATAAGCCTTTAGCAGTCAGTCTTGGGGAGAACTGGCAGATCAGTGTCACACAGTGTAGAGCGGTCTGGTATTATGCACAGATTACGTAATCAGCCTTAGAGTTTTGGCTTTTATTAACAGTGTGCCATACTTGGGAGAAAAGCAAGCAATCTGTTAACGTTCATTTATCCTTTTGAGAACGTGCACTTAGTTCAAGGAAGTGTTTTAGAAGCAGTGCTTTACAATAATCTATAACAGCACAACAAAGGTCTATTAAGGGTATGAAATTTTATATATTTTTTAAAGGTTTGCCTAACTTGGGAATTCATATATGTATTTAATATTCATGAACTCATTCTGGTAAGACTGATTTGTACATGTTTACCAATTTCGTTACACAGCCTTTACAATACTGTGTGAGATGTAAAAGGTTACGTTGTATAATGCCATTGAGTGCTAGAATAATAGTAATAATATAATTAATTATGTTGTGTTTTAACGTAAGAATGTTGTTATTTTTTCTATTTAAGATCTTACAAGACACACTTCCTTTTTTTTCTAAAACTGAAAATGTCTTGAAAAATACTTAAAGGGACACAATAGTCACCATAACACCTACAGCTTATTGTAGTTTTTCTGGTGATTATAGTCAGTCCCGGTAGGCTTTTTAATGTAAATGCTGTCTTTTTAGGGAAAAAGAAGTGTTTACAATAAAGCCTAGAAACACCTCTAGTAGCCAGTCCACAGACGGCCACTAGAGGTGCTTCCTGGGGCGCTGTGCATGAAGACGCTGAACTTCCCATAGAGATGCATTGATTCAGTGCATTTCTGTTAGGATATGCTGATTGTCCAGGGTGGCGTTTGGCAGTGATTGTGGTGTTTGATGTAGAGCTGATGGATTTTATTGGGGTTGAATAGAGGAATGGTGGATTTTCTATATTTTCATTTTACTAATTAGCTTACATTATTTTTAATGTAATTCAACATTTATCATTTTAATTTAAGAAGCATTTCAGAAGTGGTCTGGAAAAGGAATGGTTAGTAAAAGGGAATCTTTATTTCCCTGGAAATTACACTGTCGAACACAAACATGTATTCCTGACCCTATATTGGTAAACCCAGTTAACCCACCATCTAGCCCCTCATGCCTCCCTAAATATAGTAAAAATCTTACTGTATTCAAGCCAGAAGCTGTAAATCTGCATGCTGTTAGACGCAGAAAAATAAGCAGTCTGCTGACATCAGAAGTGGTAGCCTGATCCAATCACAATGTTTCCCCATGGGATTGGCTGAGACTGACAAGGAGGCAGATCAGGGGCAGAGCCAGCACAAATCAAGCACAGTCCTGGCCAATCAGCATCTCCTCATAGAGATGAATTGACTCAATGAATCTCTATGAGGAAAGTTCAGTGTTTGCATGCAGAGGGAGGAGATACTGAATGTTTGGATGCATTTTAGGCAGCCATGACCCAGAAAGGATCTTTAACAGCTATCTGAGGAGTGGCCAGTGAAGTTATGACTAGGCTGTAATGTAAACACTGCATTTTCTCTAAAAAGACAGCGTTTACAGCAAAAAGCCTGAAGGCAATAATTCTACGCCCCAGAACAAATTCAATAAACTGTAGTTGTTCTGGTGACTATAGTGTCCCTTTAAATTATCTTAATTTAAAGGGACACTATAGTCACCCAGACCACTTCAGCTCAATAAGGTGGCCTGGGTGCAAGGTCCCCCAGGTTTTAACCCTTCACATGTACACATAGCAGTTTCAGAGAAACTGCTATGTTTACATTGCAGGGTTAATCCAGTCTCTAGTGGCTGTCTTCCTGACAGCCGCTAGAGGCGCTTCTGCGATGCTGGATGTGAAAATCGCAACCAGTGTGCAGTAGTTCTTTGAAAGCATTGAGAAATGTTTTCCTATGGACTGTTTGAAAGCACACAGGGCTCTTGCCGCGTATGCACATCCCGCTGCACTCGGGAGCTGATGTCGGCGTAGGAGGAGAGGTCACCAGCGCCAAGGAAGCCCGGCGCTGGATTAAGGTAAATAACTGAAGGGGTTTTAACCCCTTCAGCGCCATTGGAAGAGGAACCTGAGGGTGGGGGATGATATAGTGTCAGGAAAACGAGTTTGTCGTAACTAGTGGGAACCTGTTTTTATCTGCAGCTTCATTTTCTTGTAAATATATGTTAAAGATCATACAACACATTACAATCCAGTTCAGCCCTGACACAACCAAGGCACACATTGTATGAAAGTAGAAGTATAACAATATTAAGCATTGTCTACTTTAGTTCTCTTCTCTGTATGCTTCCTCTATGCTGACTGCCAGGTGCAAAGGACAGAGCTAATCACAATGATTGAAAGGGAGACAAAATTGAGCCGCCAAGTCGCAGGCTCATGAGATGTGAATCTCTACATTTAATTTTAGTTTTCACATCTCAAAAACATGTTTATGAAATATAAGGGATAAGTAAACGGAATATTACAAATCATTGGAGATTACAGTTAGCCTTTAATAGGATTGACAAAACTCTAAATATACATGATAGCAGAATGCATAATTAATGCACAGTAATACACTTTGAACACAAATATAGATCAAAGTGAAACTGTTGCCTTTCTGTTAGTGTGTTGTCATAGAGCAGGGGTTTCCAACCAAGTCCTCAAGTACCCCCTACCAGTCCAGGATTTAGGGATTACCCAGTTGTGTCTAAGCTGTTTTAGAAGAAAAAAAAAAAACACTTTAAACACAACAGGGTAATCCTTAAACCCTGGACTGGTAGGGGTACTTGAGGACTGGGCCTGGGTTGGTAACCCCTGTGACATAGAGAATGCCACAGTCCCTCATGAAATCCCATGAAAACCCTAGGATCAGCTTGGCGTGAGGTCTACTTGACCTGTATCTGACTTTACAAAAACAAGTAGCTGACGCCTTTTGTTACAAATTGGAGAGGGGGTTTAGTCAATAAAATGTAGATGGAAGGGGGAATGCAAATATTAGGCCAAAATCGATGAAATAGAAAATATTGCAAATTTGGAGGTAATTCTTCTTTGACTATTTTGGGCTAAAATTTGCAGTTCCTTTTTCAATTTTCCACAATTTGTGGTTTAGTGAATAATTCCATTCAGTGAATTATATGGATACATTATTAGTTTGTTATATATAAATTATTACACGGTTTTATTTCGACTAGATAATCCCCTTTTCTACTACCTTAGTACAGGGATTCTTGGACTGGTTTTCCCAGGGACCCAAATTAGGTCAGAGCCAATAACTTGGTGACCAGCTCATCAATTGTAAAATTAGTTAAGTTAGTGTGTCTTAGTTTAATATACAGTACACACCAATCTAACTTCTGGAAATTAGTCTCAGGATGAAAGGGGTCTTCATGTTGCTATGGAAGGCAGTGCCAAAACGGCAAACAATTTGCAAATTATGTGGAACCTCATGAGATTACATGTGTGTTCCAACCACTGGGAACCCACTGAAATAGCATGATGCCACACTATTAGATATCATCCCAGAGATGTAAGGGACACTATAGTCACCAGAACAACTACAGTTTAATGTAGTTGTTCTGGTGTATATAGTCAGTACCTGCAGGCTTTTAATGTAAACACTGCCTTTTCAGAGAAAAGCCAGTGTTTACAACACTTAATAGTAACACCTCCAGTGGCAATCAGTCAGACAGCCACTGGAGGTGCTTCCTGGCTCACGGCTGCTCCATGTGCAGCACTTACATTAAGCGTCTCTACTCTCTTGATAGTTGCTAAACACTTGCATTGATTTAATGCATCTCTATGTTGATAGTCCCAGCACGGCATTTAGCAGCGCATGCACAATAATGGTATTCCCCCCTTTACATACACTCGCGAGTACAGACATACTCGCGAGTGTACTTAAAGGTGCCTCGCGAGTACAGACATTCCCGCACCTCTTCTGTTTGCAAGTGAACAGTAAATTAAAGGTTCTATTCTCGCTCGGAGCAGCTCAGTTCAGTGTCATTGGGGCAAGAACTTTTCACACCCTCTGACATGGTACAGGTTAATGATCTCAAATTTATAATGCCTACTCCTAGCTGAACATACAGGTGATACTCAAAAAATTAGAATATTGTGCAAAAGTTCATTTATTTCAGTAATGCAACGTAAAAGGGGAAACTAATATTTAATTACATTACATGCAAAGCAAGATAGTTCAAGCCGTGATTTGTCATAAGTGCCATGATTATGGCTTACAGCTCATGAAAACCCCAATTCCACAATTTCAGTAAATTAGAATATTACATGCAATCAATAAAACAAGGAGTGTACATAGAACAATATCGGACCTCTGAAAAGTATAAGCAATTACTGCATCAATGCGGTGTGGCATGGAAGCTAACAGCCTGTGGCACTGCTGAGGTGTTATGAAAGACCAGGATGCTTCAATAGTGGCCTTCAGCTCTTCTGCATTGTTCGGTTTCATGTCTCTCATCTTTCTCTTGCCCATACATTGTCCATATTTTGCAATCGACTGCCATCCAGTGAAAGGTTTTACCCAGCCATTTTCTATAACTATAATTTAGCAGCTTAGCTGCATTAGCCACAATTCTAAGGATTCAAAGTTAAACCATAAATGCTTAAAGGACCACTATAGGCACCCAGACAACTTCAGCTTAATGAGGTGGTCTGGGTGCCTGGTCCATCTAGGGTTAACCCTTTTTTCTATAAACATAGCAGTTTCAGAGAAACTGCTATGTTTATGTTAGGGTTAATCCAGCCTCTAGTGGCTGTCTCATTGACAGCCGCTAGAGGGCTTCCGCGTTTCTCACTGTGAAAATCACAGTGAGAAGACGCCAGCGTCCATAGGAAAGCATTGTGAATGCTTTCCTATGGACTGGCTGAATGCGCGCGCGGCTCCTGCCGTGCATGCGCATTCAGCCGAAGAGGAGGAGAAGAGGGAAGAGGAGGAGGAGAGCTCCCCGCCCGGCGCTGGAGAAAGAGGTAAGTTTAACCCCTTCCTCTCCATCCAGCCCGGCGGGAGGGGGACCCTGAGGGTGGGGGCACCCTCAGGGCACTATAGTGCCAGGAAAACGAGTATGTTTTCCTGGCACTATAGTGGTCCTTTAAAGTGATGAAGAGGTGTTTCTAAACAAAGTGTGCAACTAAACTGCTAACAAATACAAATTGGCACTGGATTGACAGAAAATGGCCCAGTGGGCAGGTTTATATTACTTTTCCTCCCAATTTAAGGTTTTCAGATGAGTAAAACATTAAAGATAAATGGTACAATCTGGAATGAGATTTTTTTTTTTTTTTTTTTTACTGTTTGTTTTAACTGAATAAAAGCCCACTGGAAATCACTAAATACATCACTGGAAATAAAATCACTGGAAATCTGCAGTTGCAGTATCAGTTATGCCTGTAAATTACTATTGCAATGCAATACATACATTGGGAAGGGAAAAAAGGATTGTTTCACTTTAAGTACATTTTAGTTTTACATACATGCTCTGGTCCCATTGTGTACTTAAAAGTGGGGTATGCCTGACGTCTGCCAATGTTTCCTTCTGGGAAGGCATTGGATTGGATGAGATCATCAAATTTGTGGGGGCAGCGCCAGCCACGAAGAGACTCACACGGTTCTGGGAAAAAGATGAGTAAATCACCCTTTTTAATAAGGGTAAGGGGGAGGGCTGAGCCTCTAAATGGCTATTTGAAACCTATAGTGTCAGGAATACACAGCCACTGCTTTGGGAAAATAAAGTGCTTCACACAGTTTTTAAAAAAAAATTTGTTTTAAACAAGATGATTCTAAAATAGTATGTGCGCTCCTAAATGATATATAAAATCAATAACAAAAATTGTCTCTCAAGAATCATTAGTTTTATAAGGGATAAACTCAATAATTCACAAGATATCATAGGATCTCTGCTTATCACACAATAGAAACTACCGGTAAGTAACCAGTGTTACAATGCACCCCATACACACTAGATGATACTGCAAACAATATAAACACTGTGATAAACCAATATAGAGCTTCAAAGCTGTGATGTCTACTAGGGTGATATATGGGATAGAAACTCCTAGCAGAGCCCCTCACGTCATGAAAAAAGCAACAGTATCACACAATGAAGCAGCGTGTTGCAACCTGGCCCACCCACACACCAGTTTGCAACACGCTGCTTCATTGTGTAATACTGTTGCGCTTTTTTGTTTTGCACTAGAATTTCAAAGGTGATACATTTTATTTTATTTATTTTTTAAAAATAATATATATATATACATAAATTAAATTTTTTGCATGTTGTTTAATATATTTCCTATATGATGCATTGTAATGCTGGTCAATAACCGCCTGGAGTATCCCTTTAAACATTTTGTATTCATATAATATTGTAAAGCGCTACAGAATCTGTTGGCACTATGTAAATGGCAAAACACACAGAGCTACCTTTAAAGCCTTCAGTATGATTAAACAAATAGACAGAGCATCACAAATCTTTGCAGATGTAGTAGATTTCAACAAAAATCAAACCAGGAAATATTGTATTGCTTCTTGACCCACCAAATTCTAAAATGTAAGCTATAATTGAACAGAAATTTGCCTATGGATTTGCATTGATTTTCATGGCAAATTGCACTCAAATAGTGCCACAACTGCTAAACAAACTGCGGTTAGTACAGGGAGATCATAATCCCTCTATACGAAGACATATGATGCCAAAGATCAACCCATGCAAAACAAATAGTTTGTCTGCATTTGTGACATTTATACATTTTTTTTTTTAAATGTGTCTTACTATTATTTGACAATGATGTGCAGTGTATTGAAATTAGTGTCTAGCTCTTATATGTTTCTGATGCAAATTAGCATTAGCATCAGTCATTAAACCACATTCACACTTTTTCAAAAACTAAACTGTAATCTGTAACATGTATGGCATAGCTTCACACCTACCTGTTTGTTGCAGCCGCTTGCTTTATTGCATTGTTGGTGTCTGCAATTAATATTATAACAAAGTTTGTTAGGGGCAGGGTTAACAGCATTTGTTTCTGAACATTGCGCCTACTTTGAAACAGAACTGTAAGATACCATTCCTTGATATGACCTGTTCATTTAACCCTCTTTGTACTGAGGCTAGTTTACATCTCTCATCAGAGGCATTTTCATTGTGTTTGTTTAATTGTTTTTGTTTTTCTGTTTGCTTTTTTTATTTTTTTTTTATTTTTTAATGTTTACGTTTTATTGCTCATCCAAGAGGTTACACAATAATATGAAAACATCTATTGGGTGCATTTGTCAGATAATTTTCTTAGAGGTTGCAATAGTTGTCTACATACATCACATTAGTATACAGATACATAATGGCTCTGCTAATATTACAGAATAAAAAAGTGGGTTATATAGCATATCTCTGCATATATGTAGGAGTGCGTCTGTAGAGATTTACTAAATCGAAGTGAGGGTTTGTCTATGTCTCTAACCCATTTCTGCTAGAATTGTAGTAGCTCATCAGATAGGGAGGCTCCGTGTGATAGGTCCGGCATGGAGAAAGTAGGGATCATGGAGCACTCCCCTAGGACTAGTAGGTGTATGTTAAGAGTATTGTTGCTCCATCATAGTGATACATGCAATTTAAGGATCATATGACCAACCCTCATCGAAACTGTACAATTGTAGGATGGTTCTTGTGAGCCCTAATTATGCAAACTCAGTGGATGACATAACTAAAGTTTGGGATTATAGACATTTCGAACATATTAAACTCAGAAACGGGCCCAAAAAGTGCCCAGTGCTGCCTGGGGGGTGAGGGTTCGTCAAGAATCTACCTTATAGCTTACAAATAAAAGTTGCTGGGATAGGCATAAGAGGGATACCTCATGCCTTCTCCGACCGTTCGGAGTGAGTAGTTCCGTCTATAGCAGTTTGTCAGTAAGTATGTATATCTCCCGGGTTGCTTCTCCGCGGTCCATGCCACTTCCCATCACCGAGACTATAGTGTTGTCTCGTGGAAAGGAAATTACGTGTGATCTAGAAATCTCATATAAGTGTCTAACCATTTTTGCTGAATGAATTTCAACCATGGTTCCCATATTTTATTATATAAGGCATATTTTATTATATAGGGCATAATTATCGGTAAACGAGTAGTGAAGCTCCTCCATCACCCTCACCATCTGTTTTCTAAATCCATTCTCTTATTGTTGGGGCTGTGGTTTGTTTCCACTGCATTGGAATGAGTAGATTAGCTGCTATAATCAAGTGATTTATGAGAATGCGTTCTGTCTTGGAAAGCGGGGTTGGGTGTAAGAGGAACATCATCGTCGTAGCTGTGTTGGCTACATGTATGTCTGTAATACTGTATATCAGGATTGATATTCGTTCTGTTTGCTTTTTTTTTTTTCTGTGTCTCTGGTTTTGTAGTGTTAGGCACCTGTAGAGCTTGCTGTTTTTTCTGTCTGTCTCATCCCCACTGGATCGCACACTGTGACCTGTGGACTTGTTGGCTAATTGGCTATTTTTGGTTTATTTTGGTGTCCCTGTCCATGTGGTAGTTTTTAATATAGGAGATTTGTTTTGAATAATTTTCACTATTTTATTGGCAACCAGTATGGGGTAGGTGTTATGTAGCATTCTTTTGGGGCTTGCCAGTTAGCCTGGCCGCAGCATTTAGTTCAGGATGATCATAAATTGTATTGTAGTACTGGAGACAGATTGTCACCACTACAAACATACAATATTAAGCCCTGCACTTAAACTGCCACTACTCCTGAGTGGCAGCAATGACTATAGTACACATCAGCCCCAATATAAGTATTTTTTGGGGGGGAAAGGGTAGGAACATGGAAGAGAAAGGGGGTAACCCTGGATAGAGATATCCAATATCTGGGCTCAGTCTGCTATTCCAGCAATATACCAATCAATTAATTGATCTTAAGGTTGCTAGTGACATAATTTTCCTAGCCTCCCATACATATATTTTCTTTTTATGATATAAACACCTATCATTTCATATTTCTTTTGATAATCCGGTATAGTTTTTTCTTTATTTTATATTGATTATTCTTATTATCAATTTTCCTTTCGCTTTACCTTTTAATACACTAATAGCAATATTTTTAATTAATATGTTAAACGTTATGTTTTAGCCAAATTGATACTCTTAGGCAAGTACTTCTCTATGTGTCAGGCCCAATATATACAATAAAAAGCAAAGAGAAAAGCTACTTGCTCAGTATACCATATTCCTATGCACATTTAAATAACTGGAGATGTTTAGCATCGGTCCAATGGCCATTAACGTGTAAGCTCACCTGCCACGTCAAGGCAAAACCTCCTCGGTGAGTCATACACTAACAATTCAGCGTGCTGTCTTCAGCTCTAGGTAAAATGTCTCTGAGACAGAGAGGGCTATTTTTCTAGACCCTTACATACTTCTTAACCCTTAATAGGGAACACATGGGGTGGGGGCAGCAGCACTGTAACATGGCTGTGTAATTCAAAAGCATACAAACATATTTTGGGTTATAAATGGGTTAGGACCAACCATGCACCGTCCCTGCTCAGTATGGATCCATGGCAGAGCCCGCATATTCACTAGCTGCCTCCATAACTGCTAAAGTATTATGGTTATCTGCCGCCGTCCAACACAAGATTCGAGTGAAATGTGCAGTTGTGATCACTCTGCCCCTATACTTCCTATGGCTCCCTGTTGAGGAAAGAGAGTGAAAAAGATACAAACTTTTTAAACTCTTTTCTCATTGGGGAATACTGAAAGGCTGAGATTTCAGATGTGATAAGAAATACCATAAGCATGATGAAATCTTCGATAGTGACATAAGGATTGCCAGATGACGACATGTTGGAAACCAAGGTGAAAAATAATTGAGGGAAAAGGAGCATATTTTGGGCAGCAGATCAGATGATAATTGCTACCACTTTCTCATTTAGGTTCTATGCTGCAGGCTGTAAATATTGTTAGGGCTGCGTGGCACATCACTATTTTGTGATTATATGTTCTGCTCGTGTTCGTCATAGCTGGTTCTGGGTTTTCAGCTATGTGTCACTCCATGTGCCAGTCAAACAGATGCACACATTGATCCCACATGTTGTACTGAAATGACTATGCAACAACACAATAAAATACTGGTAGCTCGAGCTGCTTTACCTAGGCAATGAACTACTCCTGTGCCCTGGCCCAGATCTGTAAAAAAAAACAAAAAAAAAACAATCCCATTGCTATTGTGGTGCTAAATGTCTGTAGACCAGAATTATTGAAGTTTAAAGATTGATACTTCCTGTATTCCACTATTGTCCATTCCTGAAACTGTAACTGTATGCCACCTTGTTGACCTCTGTTCTGCTGTTTAGACTATGTATCTTCATCACCTTCACTGACCTAGAGGAATGCACTGGACCTCTTACTGCACCCATCAGCTCTAATAACTTCTACTTTACTGATTCCTGCTGCAGACCTCATATCTTTGTTTCATTTTCCCTTTCTGGTGATATGTTTGTCACCAATTAGATTTAATCTGTCTCCTCTGAGACCACAGTATATGTCCCAAACTGATGCAGAGGAGAAAAATCCATTGGTTTACTAATATGCTGGATCGCATCCCTGTCTAAAGAGAAAATTGCTTAATTAAACAGTTTTAATACGATGTTAAAGACCTGAAAATAATCATTACATTTAACATTGGCCTGATATTTTTGGATAAGCTTATCAAATGATTTATTAGTGAAAATTCCCATAATCATTAAAAGAACACTATAGCGTTAGAAAAACAAACCTGTATTCCGCTGCATTTAGCTTCAGCCGCCCCCAATCTAAAAAAAAAAAAAAAATGGAAAAGTGGGTTTTACACACCTGTTTTTACCAGCATCGAGATCCAGTACAATTTGTTAGTACTCACATAACACCCTCAGCCAATCACTGCCCTCCTTTGGTGGCCAGGGTACTAATTATTTGTTAAATTGTAAGAAAATTATATCAGATCAAAGACCCAGTAAAAAAATAACCTCTAAAGGACCAATGACATGCAGGGAAAGAGATGGATAACTAGATTTGCCTAAACCTTATGGATCCTCTGGGATAAACAAAGATAGATCCATGAGTACATCTCCAATTATGCCTTTCCAACCTTAATAGTGGAGCCTTAAATGTGTACTTCCACACAAAGCTGGAGACCTACCTTTAGCTGGACCTGCCTTAGCAGGGTAACTTTTTTTTTTTTTTTTGCCATCATAAGATATTCATAGGAGAGACCTACTGGCGCCCCATCTTATCTCATTTTTCCTTGCAGATTCAGAGACACAGCGTACATTAAAAGGTAGAACAAAAGTCAAAAGGGAGAAGGAAGCAGATCTGTGGGTTCAGCAGGAAATTAAGTCCGTGTTTAGAAGAAACGAGACATGCTTTAAGCATGTGAATAGAATATGCTGTTTTATTACATGAAAAAGATGTCTACGTTAACCCTCGCCCCAAAAAGTAACCTCCTACGTGAATGAAAGGAGTATCTACCCACCATAAGTGTTTTACTGTAGCAACATGCAATTCTCAATTATAATGGAAAACCATTTGAAACTGGGAAGAACATCATTAAGGCAATCTTTATCTTCTGCCCCAGAGTCCTGTCTGAAGGTTCCTGGATGCTGATGTATTCCCAGTACATCATTAGACACTAATGGAATCTGTCTGGTTGTACAGATGGATTTTTTTATATTTAACATGTCCTGTTTGTAAATGCATGTGGGGATAGTTTCATGGCTGCAAAGTCGATGTTGACTATATCAAACAAGGCTACTCCTAAAAATGGTGTACTCTTAAAACATCTGTAAGCAAAAAATTAAGAAAACCGTGAAAATGAAACTAAGGTGCAGAAGCTTTGAAATAAGGTCCTCAAACTGACTTTTATAAGTTTATGTTGCAAGTCACTCACAGTGGCCGTCTCTACATGTGTGTTGCATACCAAGTGTCCCTGTATAAGGGGTTCAGTTCCGATCTGGACTGAAAACAGGCTGGTTTTGTTTTACATCATGGTATCCCTCTCTTCTAGGAACTCCATGTTTTTTATGTGTTTGGAAACTATAACAGAGCTTTATAGCAATAAATCTCCTAATTAGTCTTTAAACTCCTATACATGTGTTTAGAAATTAGTTACAGCCTTGTTTTAAATGACACTTTCCTGAAATATCCCAGAATTGCTCTGTTCGTAAAATAGCATTGTCCCACTTTGGCCATTTGAAATGTGGAGCAGTATTGTCCTAAAACCTAATGCAGACATGTTGACAGTGATTATATTTACATGAATTAATCTATCAGCTGAATTTGTAATTTAATAAACAACTGACTATCTTACATATGGATTAGACCAGTGCTCTCACTTGTGGTCTCCTAACGAGGCACACTGTTTTGAGAAGGGTACACTACACTGAGATCTCCCTAGCACTTATGTCGGTCTTTGTAGCCAGCTCACATGGGGGGTTATTTATAAAATGTCTTAACACAGTGAAGGAGTTTAAGCATGCGTGGGATAGGCATAAGGCTATCCTAACTATAAGATAAGGCTAGGGACTAATGAAAGTATTTAGAAAATTGGGCAGACTAGATGGGCCGAATGGTTCTTATCTGCTGTCACATTCTATGTTTCTATGTTAAAACAAGTTTGAAAATGATATTTTTTTTAGCACATCCCAGTTGCTGAAAACAGTTTACAAAAGATATAAATTGTTTTCCTAATAGTAAGATTTCATTATTTTTTGCTGAGATTTCTCAGCTGTGCAAATTTGGGCTATGTACTATAGCGGCTATCTTCATTGTATTTCCAAAACCTATGTATTAGACTCATGTCAACCGCAATCTTAATTACAGATTTTTATTGGTCAATCTCTCTTTTATTCAGTGGTTAATGCAAATTACAGACAAGATAGAGTGTAAAATTATATCGGACCACGAGCTTAATAGGTAAAATAAACAGAACAGCAACAAAAACAACATTCTACTGTGTTTTCTATTTTTTTTGTGTGTGTGTGTGTGTGTGAGTGCGAGTGTGTGTGTGTGTGTGTGTAAAATAAAGAAGTGATACTCCTTGTAATTTGTGTTGATCAGAGTTCAAGTTTTGCAGTAAATAGATCTACATAGGCAAAAAATCATGAAAAGTACTAAGTAGGATAGTAGAGAGACAATTTAAACTTATATATGTTAGATTGCAAGCTTATTCTGTCAGGGTCCTCTTCACCTTCTCTTCCAGTATGTCAATCATGTTTTGATTGGTGTTTCTTGTTGTTCACTAAAACCAAAAATGATGAATTTTTAACATTTTCAACTGGCATGGGTTCACCTCTTGGTTTTGTACTTAGTCTAAGTAACCACATTAGATTGATAATTCCTTGGTGAAAGTATATGAATAACATTATATTTCGGATTGAATTATTTATTTTAGTTGCCTAGATAATATTGGCTACCGTATGTTCATATCAGAGAGGCTACCATTGTTTTTACAAGAAGTATGGATATTGGCTTAAATATGTACTAACATTTTTATTTTCTATTCAGGATACATCTCTGGCCTCTCCTGTAATCCTACGAGTGGATCCTAAAGGTTATTATATGTACTGGACATTTCAGAGCAAGGTAAATAAATTAATCAATCAGTCTGGGATTATAAGAGTCTATCACCTGCTTACTCATCGTTCACTATTAGACTTAGAAACTTTCCTCGACAAGGCCTTAGCGACGGTGGTACCATTATCTCAAGTATTTTATTGCCACAATCACTTTGCCACATTTATAATAGCGGTCTATTAAGCCTTTTGTGACATTATGCACTGCTTAAAAAGACTTTTACACCCAATTTCAACTTTTTATTTTATCTTTTTACGAGAAAATGGGAAACAGGCCGTGTCATAGTTGAGGCGTAAATATTCTGTCTCTTCTAGATACCAAGAAATTGCAATTACAATATTGACCAGATGGTATAACACTCCTGTTGTTATTTTCATTGAGTTTTCTAGCAATTGTTGGAGATGTGGAAGGGCTCTCGGAACTTACTCATGTGTGGTGTGATTGTGCTCATATTATTGGTTAGCGTAAATTTGCTCTGTATAAATGATGCTTCAGTCCAGGTCAAGGTAGACAAAATAGCTTCTTGATCCAAGGAGATATCTGACTGCCATTTTGGGGTCAAAAATGAATTTTTTCCTAGTTTGTAAATTGGAAGCGTTTCAGACTGGGTTTTTTGCCTTCTTTTGGATCAACGGCAAAAATATATGTAAGAAAGGCTGAATTTGATGGACACAAGTCTCATTTCAGCTATGTAACTATGTAGCTAGTACATGGTACATGTGAGTCAGCTTTATTTATTAAAATACTTTTAGATGTTAAGATGTAGCAAAACCTAAGAAGACAACTTGAGTGGCTCATATAGTAGCTATTTCGGTATGATACCTATCAATATCTAGGACTGGTTAGATTTTTATGAAATGTAGTGGTATCTTTTATTTAAATGTAATTTGTGGTTTTACATGAAACATGTTAGACTATGTATGTTTATAGTCATGAGGGGATCCCCATTTTACCCCTCTTTCTCCTGCCTCCCATTTTTTAATTATTTTTTTATTTTACTCCTCCTTCTGGATACTCTCAATTAATGATATATTAGTGTCAGAATTACTAGTTGATCCAGCACATAGAATTGTGTCACACAGATGACTAATAGGTAACGTATTACCGGGCCTTAGAATGGCCGGACTTAACGTATCAAAGAGTAGTTAGGATACTTGCCGAGGTCAGGAGATACAGAAAGAGACACAACGATAAAGGAAAGCCAGAAGTCATGGATACCAGAATACAGGGAAGTCAAAATCAAAGTAAAAAACCAGAAGAAACTTGAATCAGGAACGCGCTCTCGGACAACCACTAGGGAAACCACGACAGGGCACTGAGCAGGATGAGAACTGGGCCTAAATACCCCTCCTCTGGATCTGACTCCAAAGGCAGTTACCAGGTTCCCATTTGCATAATTGCTGCTCGGCACAACTTTTCCTGTCAGGACAGTAATGTTGCTCGGCACAACTTTTGCTGTCAGAACAGTAAATGTCATTAATCACATTTTTATATGCGGATGAATACGTGACAATAAGGCCATTTCAAAGTAAACTGTATAAAACTGTTTGTCATAGACTGTACCTTCAACTTCTGGCTAATGATATTACAGTTGGCATTAAATGCAATGCTTTTTGATATAGAAATGAACTAGTACAAAACAAGTCAGATTGACAAATAATATCACATTATGTCACTTGATCATGGTCAATGGAAAATTAAAGAAAGACTCGCCTACCGCCATTTTCAAGCTAACCATTTTTGCCGAATATTTTTTGCAAAAGCAAGATTCTGCAAGAAATGACCAAATTCAGTTTTCCATCTTTCCTATACCCATCCTGAAACTTGGTTTTCTTTACCCTAACTGAAGAAATCATATCGAAGTACTTAAGCAGGAAAAGCATTCTTGCATGTCCTAGGGCCTAGTACATCCTGGGTTCTAGATGTTAATACCTGACTTAATGGCCATAATTTCATTGGCCTTGGAATAAAGGTTGGTTCAGTCTTGATGGGACTCTGTCTTGTGACTGTGCAGTTGAGGTTTGACCCTCCGAGCTCTCTCACCCTTTTGGTTAATGTATCTTAATAATTTCCATTTGAAGTTATACATTCTGTATTCCTAATCTCCTCTACTCTATTCCTGCAAGAAGGGAGGGGCTGGTCTTAATTTTCCATCTTGAGGTAATTTTCTCAACACCAGTAGGGCCATTCCTAGTCCAAATAAAGCTGTCACAAATACCAGAGCTTTTTTCCGAATCACTCAGTAAAATCTTAGTTAATCACATAATTCCAGCTGATTCTGGAATAAACTCTGTGTTGGTATCAAGGTTCCTTTATTTTGCATACTGCCATTGTTCATGTTGGGTAATGTATTCCACAATCATTCAGTCAATGTTTTAGTGTTGGATTATCAGATCTGCCATGTTTAATCCAGCTCGTATTATTTTCACTAGACCAGGGTTGGCCAAAAGGTAGATCCCCAGGTGTTTTCAAACTACAGCTTCCATGATGCTTTGTCATTCTAAAAGCATGCAAAGCATCAAGGGAGTTGTAGTTCTACAACATCTGGGGGAATCTACCTTTTGGGCAGCCTTGCAATACACAATTGGGTAAAACACAGAAAGTGCTGAGTGCATCCCTTCCCACCCCCTCATCCCCCAAATCTACTGGAATCGTATTGCCAATATTTAGGCGAAAATAGCTGATCTGTAAATATTCTCTAACTTTGCCATAGTGATAGCTTGGCTTCTTTTGGTAACATTTTGCCAGTCAGATTTCAGTTTGCTACACTGTGCAGAGTAAAATTAAACCCTCCTGTGTTTATTTACACACTGTAGGACAGCAAGGTTGATGCATGGAAAATAATAATTTTCTAATAAATCACAGGTCGTCTTGCTTCTTTCAAATTATTATTTATCAAACTGATAATGAGTCATTTAGCAACTGATCATAAGACCTCAGACAGCTCTCTCAAAACAGCAACACATTAAAAAAATATATAAAAACATTATTGGTCCCTTTTCCTACCCTTCTCTCAGACATTGGGCTGTCGCCCTCACAAAACCTTCACAGAAATATAGTCGCTCTTAATTCTCTACTGTCCCTCTCTGCCATGCTGTTAAGGCCTTAGTTATACGGTAATGAAGTTCTTCTTAAACCAAGTGACTCCAGGCTATAGCTGAATCACAACTAATGTGACTGAATATGATTACTTCCAGTATTGCTCCATACACCAGCCTTCCATTCATAACTCAGACTACATCAAGCATGTCAAACTCAAAGTCTAGCATGGGCCACATAAACAAGGTTTAAGTTTATGTGGGCTGCAAACCCCCCCGCACCCCCCAAAACATAGGTTTATTTTGAAAAGTACAGTATAAAAAAAAATAAACAGCATCCCCCTCTACTAAACACTAACTGACAGGCACACAAACAGACAAACACACTCACTGACAGACACACACAGACAGACACACACACTCACTCACTGACTGACAGACACATACTCACTCACTGACAGACTCACACATTCACTGACAGACACACAAAGACAGACACACACAGACCTACTCACTGACAGGCACACACACACACACACACACTGACACATTCTTGCACACACATTTTCTTTATTGCTCCCTACTTTTTGGAGCTGATGTGGGGCCTCTGCCTGGGGTCCAGTGGGGATCTTCTGTCTGCTCCCTTGCAAGGTTTAGTGATGTCTGCGCGCGCGAGGGAGCAGTGATGAGCAGGAACACTGAGCTCCTTCGCTGGCCTCCTCCCCGGCCGGGTAAGTTTTAGCAGAGTATGCACCTGCAATGTGGGGAAAGCAGGTGCATATTCTGCTTTAACACCAAGCATGTACTTACAGCTCGCCGGGCCACAATGTCCATTGTGGGCCGCGAGTTTGACATTCTTGGACTACATGAATGGTGTGTGCCATGTAGTAATTTTTTTCATTTTCTTATTGAAGTGTTATTTGGCCCAAAGAAAAACAAAACACCTTCACAATCAGGCAGTGAAGACTTCCTGAAAAAAAAAGATATTCAAATATTAAATAAAACATATTTACATGTGTAAATTTGAAAGCCACTGACTACTAAGTTTATTTCGCACAGCGAAGATCTGATACATTTAGTATATATGATAATATTCCTTCTTTATTAAAGACTTTTCCTTACGCATGGTGAATAAACGATACACAAAAGGGAAGAGACTCTAAACCACAGTTTCCCTCGTCGCTTCCTGGCTATGTGACTCCGCTAGTAGATTTTATAGACCACAATTCTTCCATAGTTCTACAGAAAATGACTATTTTGGTCCAGAGATTTGAATGCCATCTTTGCATTCGTATAAATTGTTCAATGCTGGGAGATCTAGAACGCATTGAAATTCCTCCATCCATTTCAAATCTTGAGTGCTTTTTTTAAAAATCTCATTAGCACTAGCAGGGACAAAATCTCCCATCTTAACATGTCCCCAGATAATACTATGTTTCTGCAACAATGTTTCTCAAACCAGTCGGTGGGCTTAAAGGACCACTATAGTGCCAGGAAAACATACTCGTTTTCCTGGCACTATAGTGCCCTGAGAGTGCCCCTCCCGCCCGGCTCTGGAAAGGGGTTAAAACTTACCTTTTTCCAGCGCTGGGCGGGGAGCTCTCCTCCATGAAAATCACAGTGAGAAGCACGCAAGCGCCTCTAGTGGCTGTCAATGAGACAGCCACTAGAGGATTAGGGGGAAGGCTTAACCCAATCATAAACATAGCAGTTTCTCTGAAACTGCTATGTTTATGAAAAATGGTTTAACCCTAGCTGGACCTGGCACCCAGACCACTTCATTAAGCTGAAGTGGTCTGGGTGCCTAGAGTGGTCCTTTAATGTATATGTATAATACCATCCAGTGCTCACACCGATGTCTAGTGGAAATTGATTTTCATCATAATTATACTTTTTTGGTTATTTCTTTAGAAATATATTTTTCTCACATCATCGTAAACGTGATGTGGTAAGACTGACTTCTAGTAGAAATAGTAAAAAAAAGGTAAAGAAAACAATCTACGTGAAAAAAGCCATATCCATCCAGTTCCCGAAGTTCTGAAAGTGCCTTATGCCGATAATCCAGCTAATATTGTATCTTATCCTCACACCCGTCCCTCGGGTAATAATCTCTGTTCAGTAGAAATCCTCCTAATTAGTTAGGATTCAACTTTTTCAGCCACACTCATACACATAATGATATGAGAGCAAAACACAAAGTACCTTGGAGTCTACAGCTCACAACCAACCTAATCTAAGCTCAGACCCTCCCCAAAGGCTGTATAAATGTGGATCGATAATACGGAAGTGAATGACGCAAAAAAATAGAATGCAAAAAAAAATAATGTAAACATTTCAGTTATATTTATTGACTTTTAATGTTCCTTGAGCGTCTTTTAATCCAGAGGCAAGAAGGAATTTAAACCCACCCCCGCTACACCAGTACCAGGAACTATCTCCACCTATCAGGAGCCACGACTTCTGTTCTATGGGGACTGATTTTTATCTCATAAACCGGTCTATAGCAGCAATTGCATTCAATAGGTTTGATAAATGGAACTGCTAAATAAACTGGCACCGTAACTTCAGCAGTGTTTGCTGTTTTAGGGAATGGGGCTGCATGCAGTGTTAATTGCAGACTGAAAATTCGTCCTATGATGTCAAGGCCTATATATACCTTCCAAAAGGAAGATATGAACCCAGGGCAAGGTGGAATTTACATTAAAAGAAAGGGGGTAAGCCTGGTATGCATGTATGCTATGTTGACCGATTGCTGTTCTGGCCAGCCTCGATCGACTAAATGGCACGAGAGAACCCTACACAGGACTTGTTAAATTAGAAATGTTACATGCTACTTTTATTTATTTTTTCATTGTCTTCAAATGTTCTTCTCTGTCAACCACTTGATCTGGGAACAATGACAACAATTTCAGGCCAGAATTGATCTGGACAAAAAAACAGCAGTGAAAGGGTTGGGCAATGCTGTGGATCCTCGACATGTGTAAAGGGCATGTTACTAATCCGTGTCTGCTTTGTTAACTGTATATGCTGATTATACAGTCTAAGCAGAACAATATGCCCACATGGAGCTCTGACAGGATTGATCGTATTATCTTTAGTGCCTGCTATTAAGCTGTTTTAAATAAAAACTTTGGATACAAAGACGCATAGCTTCTAATATTAAACCTATCATTTTCCAGAGGAGATGGATATCATGTGCATTACAGGAAATTAAAAAAAAAAAAAAATGTAACAACATATAAACATTGCAATATTTTAGGGTGTGTTTGTGGAACTTCATTACTTCAGTAAAAAGTTTCACAAAATGACTAATTAAAAAAAAAAGTCTGTGGTACAATAACAAACTTTGTAGCTAATCTGTTTTTAAATTGCTTGTCACTTACCGTAATCCCCCAAAGGTTAGTGACGTCATTTCTGCCCCTCCATCCTTGGACAGAATTCATAGCAGCAAGCACCAGCTGAGCCCCCTGTCAATTAAAACCATTCCAGTAAGGGAAAAACATATTTCGAAAGGCTCAATCCTATGCCATTTTGGTATTTTTGGGAAGAGTCCATGAACGCGTATTATTTCTTTAAAATGGTCACAACACTTATGCATGCTATTTTCTGTACTCGTGCATTTTTTTTTCTTGCCTACGCGTTTAAAAAGAGAATTAAGAAAGGAAACCCACTGTATTCGATAATGGATCGTGCATATAAAATATTACATATCGATCTCCTTTAAAACAAAATTTTATCTATATAGATACTTTCAATGTAGAAGAGGGATGTCATGGTTGGACAATATATGACACCACTTGTGGAAGGAGTTAAGGGGGTAATTTATATTTTATTAAATAGAAGTTTTATTTTCATTTTGACTTTTATTTTTACCTCTACAGGAAATTGAATTTGTGGAGTTAACGAGTATTCGAGATACACGATATGGAAAATATGCTAAAATACCAAAGGTAAGGTAAATGATTTTAAGGGCAAAATCGGAAAAAAAGTGATTTAATAACAATAATGGCATGCATCTCATTTATAGAAAATCTGAATATTAGGCATATATCTCTAACCAATGAATTAATTCCAGATATCTGTGCGAGGATTCTAAATAAGTATTTTTGTTTGTCATGTGTGGTAAATAATTTAAAGGGACTCTCCAGTGCCAGGAAAACATATCCGTTTTCCTGGCACTGCAGAACCCTGCAGTGCCCCTCTGCCTCCCACACCCCATCCCATGTTGCTGAAGGGGTTGAAACCCCTTCAGTGACTTATTTGAATCCAGCGCCGATGTCCCTCGTCGCTGGGTCAGGCTCCACCCATGCTCCAGGCCGCGCGCGCTTTATACCTCCCCATAGGAAAGCATTATTCAATGCTTTCCTATCGGAATTCCGGCAACGCTGGAGGTCCTCATGCAGAGCTTTAGGACGTCCAGTGTCGTTTAAAACACTTTTCGTGTTCTAAGAACACGGAGGTCACTCTAGTGGCTGTCTGATAGATAGACAGCCACTAGAGGAGGATTTAACCCTGTAGGGTAATTATTGCAGTTTATAAAATCTGCAATAATTACACTTGCAGGGTTACGGGTGGTGGGAGTTGGCACCCAGACCACTCCAATGGGCAGAAGTGGTCTGGGTGCCTGGAGTGTCCCTTTAAGGCTCAGCCGCTCTACAAAGAGGTATAAAAAGGTACTCATGTAAAACTTTTAGCCTCCAGTTTTGTATTCCAAGAACATAATCAAAAGCATGACTAGTCCTGATGTAAGAAGGAAGACGATTAACATACCAATCTTAGGTCAAAGGGTCGAGGCAAACAGTGGTTCATCAACCGATGAGCTGCGACAGGATATTACATTACTTATGGATATGCAAATATGATTTAAAATGTATTTTTCTAAAGCATCCAGAGCTTTTAAATGAAAGCAAAGAATTCTAAATCTCTTTTTAAAGGAGATAAACTAGTATCTGAATTCAAATATAGAATTCACAAAAAAGATTAAGGCAAATACAATTGAGTATTGTATCAATAGCAACCACAGCATTTTCTAAGATGACAGTGATGTGTTTATCCTTTGATATCTCACAAAATCCTTGTCATAGTCCGCTTGCACCCTCTTGCCCTGTGAATTTGTGTGTAGGATTTGCCCGTATTTGCATAGTAGGATGTGATTACATCACTGATTTGCACAAGGAAAGCTACTAGGGAAATTCAGAACACAGCTGCATTTCACTTGGCCATGTGATCTAAGAATAGGTTTGTGGTCGTTTTGCACATAGAGAATCCAGGCTTGTGAAAGAATTGGAATTAGTGTAACCGTTTACAGGACAGAGATTTTCACAATATGATCTACATTGTGCTTACTGATTTGTCAGATTTTAAAAAGTTCTCTTGACTTCTTGGGTGTGCTCCAAAAAAAACCTGTTAAATGCAAAGCTATTCCTTTCCACACTAATCCAAATGGAAGCTGGAATCATTAGCCAGCCTGGAACTGAGTGGCTAATGTTAATTCTGTGCAAAATTAAAATCTAACGCAAACATGCACAGCATGCAGGCGCCAGGCAACCAATGGTGGAAAGGCCACCGTCCCTTTGTGACATCGCTGTCTTCCACTCAGCCGGTCCAACCTCTCGCCCCGGCACAGGGGAGTCATGTCAGCGGGGGGAGGTAGTGCTATGGGAGTAAGGTAGGTTTTAGCGGTTTGTTTGTTTTTTACATTTAATGGGTGAGGGGACCAGTAGGGCACTACAGCATTTTATTTAAAAAATAAAAAAATGTTTTGGTGACCGTAACCATACAAGTGTCCGCAGGCATCAAACAAATTGCTTTCTTGTTGCATTTTCTCACTTTGTCTGCCAGCAGTGTATTTGCAACTTGATATTTTGCTGCAATACATTTCTTACATTTGCTGCATTCTGAACGGAATTCCATCTGTCCCTGGTTTAGAGCACTTCATATTGTAATATTTACCCTTACACAGTGCTTTACTGCTCCTCCAGTCCCCTAATTAGTATTTCTTTGTTCTTCTTTTGACTTCAGTCTGAGGGCCGACCTTGCCTTACACAGTTAATGTAAATCCCTTGGCATGTTTCTGTTTACATTTAAGGTTTTTTATCAAGGGCTTTGTCTTTTCATGTAAAATGTTGATACTTTTCTTTAAAGGAACACTAGAATCAGGAATACAAACATGCAATTTTATTTTTATTTCAGTCTGCTGCTGGTGGCTCTGCTACTGATCAGCCTGCTTGGCTGACATCATCAGAAGTCCATAGGAAAGCATTGGATCGGCTGAGACTGACAAAGAGGCAGATCAGGGGCACAGCCAGCACAAGCCCAACACAGACCTGGCCAATCAGCATTTCCTCATAGAGATGCATTGAATCAATGCATATCTATGATGAAAGTTCAGTGTCTCCATGTCAGGATTACTGTAAGATCCAGCATGCATATTTGTGTAACACAGAGGACAGATAGGTAACGTATACCGGGCCTTAGAATGGCCGGACTAACATACCAAAGAATAGTCAGGAATAGCCCAGGTCAAGGAACACAGAAAGAGACACAACGATAAGGAAAAGCCAGGGGTCAGGGATGCCAGAAAACAGGGAAGTCAAAATCAATGCCAAAGTCAGAATAACCAGAATCAATAGCGCGCTCTCGGACAACCACTAGGGAAACCACGACAGGGTACTGAGCAAGAGGAGAACAGGGCCTAAATACCCATCCTGTGGATCTGATTGACTGTAACCGGCCTTTGACCCCGTTTGCATGATTGCTGCTCAGCACAAACCCTCCTGTGGATTGATTGCTGCTCGGCACAACTTTTGCTGTCAAGAGAGTAATGTTGCTTGGCACAACTTTTCCTGTCAGGGCAGTAAATGCCGTTAATCACATTTTTTATGTGTGGATGAATACATGACACTCCATGCAGAGGGTGGAGACACTGAATGTCAGTGCTATACTTCTAGCAGCCATCTAAGGAGTGGCCAGTGGAGGTATTCCTAGGCTCTAATCTAAACACTGCATTTTCTCTGAAAAAAGCCTGAAGGGAATGATTCAACTCACCAGGACAAATACAATAAGCTGTAGTTGTTCTGGTGACTATAGTGCCCATTTCATTTTCTGCTAACAGAGAAATAAGTCTCTGTTCACACCTAGATTTCTATAAATAAGCATTCATTCTTGTATTCGAGCTGTTCTGTGCGTAGTTACTGTATCGTCATAATATTGTCTCGTGTTTTTTTAATTCTATCTTCTTCCTTCCCATTTTTTATCTTGTGCCTATTATTTATACACTCCCCTTCTTACTCCATCCACCTCCTCTCTCTCTCTTTCTATTTCCCTTTTCTATTGACTTTAAAACTTTTCACTTTTCACGTTTCACTTCAGCTTACAATATGTCTTTGCTTGTACCTGTATCTTGCATTGACTGCCAATAAAACTGTTCTTTAAACTATCCCAAAGCTAGTAGACTTATTCTTGTTTTGTGTATCCATCTCATAGAGGTGGTAGGTCATAAGAAATTAAAGAAAGAGTTTAGAGACTGTGATAGAACAGCTCAAGAGAAGGAGCCAGCCCCCTCTTCAGCCAGAAGCTCTACAAGAGTGCTAAACCTGGCAGTGCTGAGACATGCTCATTGGCTGAGTGAACACTCTGGTGACGCTCTCAGCCAATGGGCCAGACTTGCATGGCAGTGTTTAACTCTCTGATAGAGTCTGTGACAGGCGCCAGGCAGACTCCATGTAAGTTGTCAAATGGTCCTTAACCCCTTAAGGACACATGACGTGTGACATGTCATGATTCCCTTTTATTCCAGACGTTTGGTCCTTAAGGGGTTAAATTATTTGAAAACTTACTCTAGGATGGTGACAAGGCACTCCTGGCACCATAACCACTACATAGGGCTTTAGTGCTTATTGTGTCTGGAGTGTTGCGTCAAACAATCTACCAGTGCCCTTCCCTAGATTAGGCTCTGGATCCTCTGCAGTGAGTTATGCATACAGTGTCAAAGTTACTGCTGCTGGTTCCCAACTTCCCATGCAATATTTTCAATTTAAAAAAACAAAAACACACACACTGGGAATTTATTTCCCATCAAATTGTGGCTCAGTGAGATCCTGGCTGTGGCTAGCTTTAAATATACATCCAATGTAATTGGATAGTTGGACAACTACTTACTGAACAGCTTATGTGGACTATAACTCCAATCAATCTCATCCAGTACAATACTTAATTATATTCATTGCAATTACATGGGGGACAGAGAGAGCTTTTAATTAAATAGTTACAGGGAGGCGATATACTGATCCAATTACCTTTGTACAAAGTTCTTCAGGAAAAGGACAAAGTATACTACAATATTTTTTCCAAAATTGTTTTATTTTCTTCCACAAGTTAGTTGCTTGATGCATTTTTCTGTGTGAATCCTACTTCTCTTTATTTGACATGCAAATTATATTCCTATTACTGAAAATACCAGAATTATGTTTTAGTTTTTTTTTTTTTTTAATTTTCAAAATATATCGTTCCCACAACAAACACAGCTGTTTCTAATTCCCACTAATTTAATGCTTGTTTATTCATCTTGTTTGTTCTTTTATTAGCCATTCACAGCGCTTTAAATGCAGACTGCGTTATTGACCGTGTTCCCCCTAACAGAATCTCCCTGTTTATTTTCTAGTGTACGTCACTGAATGTACCATCTTTTCAGGTTCTATATATTGTTGTGTGAGTCATATGAAAATTATTTGTTTGGAACATCTCTACTTAAAGGGACTATCGGCACCCAAACCACTTCATCTAAATGAAGTGGTCTTTGTACCTGTTTTTATCCAGCAAATGAAAACATTGCTGTTCTGCATTAGGGCAATGTTTTTAACCCCTTAAGGACCAAACTTCTGGAATAAAAGGCAATCTTGACATGTCACACATATCATGTGTCCTTAAGGGGTTAATTGCATGGTTTAAATGGACACTATAGGCACACAGACCACTGTATCTTATTAAAGTGATCTAGGTGCAATGTCCCTCTCATTTTAGCCCTGCAGCTGCAAACATTGGACGTCCAGCGTCTTCTAAATTCTCATCGGAAAGAATTGATTCAATACTTTCATATGGGGAAGGTCCAATGCGGCGTAACCCAACCCAGCACCAAGAGACCCCAGTGCAGGAATCAGATAAATGGAAAAAGGGGGGTTTAACCCTTTATTTGCCTACGGGTGGGGGGGGGGGGATTAATTGGATTGACAGAGATCATCGATCTTATTGACATAGTCTTAAATTAGAGGGACAAAGGTTTAAAAATAATATCAGGAAGTATTACTTTACTGAGAGGGTAGTGGATGCATGGAATAGCCTTCCAGCTGAAGTGGTAGAGGTTAACACAGTAAAGGAGTTTAAGCATGCGTGGGATAGGCATAAGGCTATCCTAACTATAAGATAAGACTAGGGACTAATGAAAGTATTTAGAAAATTGGGCAGACTAGATGGGCCGATTGGTTCTTATCTGCCGTCACATTCTATGTTTCTATATCTCAGCCAAGGAGGCAAGACGGCAGCAGTGAGACCAGCGTTGCAAGGGAGTGTAAGTAAACTAAATGTTTTACTCTCTACAGGTGGAGGTCGGGGACTTAAACAGCCACCAGGGCACTGTAACATTAGAAATACACATTTGTATTCCTAATAATATAGTGTTCCTTTAAAGGGACATGGCAGGCAATATAGTTTTTGACATGTCAATTTCTATTGGCTTTTTTTTTTTTTTTCACTTAAAGGACCACTATAGTCAGTGTCACCCAGACCACTTCAGCTCAATAAAGTGGTCTGGGTGCCAGGTCTCGCAGGTTTTAACCCTTCAGGTGTAAACATAGCACTTTCAGAGAAACTGCTATCTTTACATTGCAGGGTTAATCTAGCCTCTAGTGGCTCTCTTCCTGACAGCCGCTTGAGGCACTTCTGCGACGCTGAATGTGAAAATCGCATTGAGCACGCAGAGCGTCCATAGGAAAGCATTGAGAAATGCTTTCCTATGGGCGTTTTTAATGCGCGCGCGGCTCTGGTCGCGCATGCGCATTCGGCGCCACTCGGGAGCTGACGTCGGAGTAGATGTCACCAGCGCCGAGGGAGCGCGGCGCTGGATAAAGGTAAGTGGCTGAAGGGGTTAAAACCCCTTCATCCTAGTGGGTGGAGGGCCCTGAGGGTGGGGGGACCCTAAGGATTATATAGTGTCAGGAAAACGGGTTTGTTTTCCTGACACTAGTGATTCTTTAAGCTAAAGTTGTTTTGGTGCTAATAGTGTCCCTGTTGGAAATATTGGAAACTGAGCATAGGTTAGTACGATAATTATAAGTTACAGTATTACTAGCATCTGGTAAAGGTGAGTTAGGCCCCCGACTGAGTACAAGGAAGAAATGGTAAAGAGAGGAATCCTCCGGATTCAGAGTTAGTAGGGACATCCATAAGAATGCCGAAATCATCAAGGGGGAATTAAGGAATTGCAGAAAAAGGGAAAAAAGGAAGCCAAGCTGAACGTGTTCAAGGAAGAGATGAGGATTACCAAAGGGACAGTATTTAAAGGGTGTATATAAATGAATTGGTGAACACATACTATTTACTTAAAATAAGTATAAAGAGAGGGAAGGGTTGATGGTAATATGCTGAAAATGATATACTCTGGTAATGAAACACTATGCAATGATTGATAATCTCATAATGCCACCTGCTGGTACAATTGGGAATTTTTATCTCAATTCCTTGTAAAACGGCTTTGCAGCACTTCCTGGGTTGTGTTTCAAAGCCGTTTTAAAACAGCAAACACAAACTCTATGTAATCCATGTTCAAAATGGAATAATGAGGCAAAAGTGGGATTCTTTGTGAACTCATTTGCATATGCTCACCCAGAATCCCTTGCAGTAGTAACATCACTACAAATTTGAGATTCCTGTGGGAAAAGCAAGTCTTATGGCTTGACTGGGGTGCAGATCTGTGTTTAACATTGTATTGACGATCCCCACTTCAGTTGGAAGGGGTTTTCAATCACAATATTCACCACCATAACTTTCTTGGTTTGTGCTTCCCAAAATTTAGAAAAATATGTATATGCCAAACACACTATGCTATGTGTTCTTTAAAGGAGCAGGGTTGACTGTCCTATGCAACTGTATGTCAGGTATATGGGATCTGAATGTGGATTTATTAGAGAGAAAAGAAAATGTTTTTAAAATACAAGAGTACAAAATGCAATATGTCACTAATGTCACTAGTCTTTTCTAGTCAATATGAGAGTATGGTACTCCTCTTATAATATTTCCTACTAGACTCAATAGTTCAAATAAAATCCACATACCTAAAGATGTATAATGTAAATAGTCACTGTCGCAAGCTGACAACTGGCATGAGACATTCAGGCCAAAAATGTTGAGTTGCAAAAAGTCTCAAACCGGTTCAAATGGGATTGTTTTTCTTATTAGGGCATTTCTGTCAAAAGTTGTGAATGCATTTTCACACTTTAATTTCCCTCCAGAGAGTGGTCAATCAAAACCAAAATTGTGTGATATTGAATCACTGTATTCCAAGCACATTTATGTTTATTGTACGTAACACAGTCTTCAGAGTGGTATATTTGGTTTTGGTCAGAATTATGCAAAAGCATAGATTGTGAGAAAGATTGGTTTTAAATGTTCATTCTCTGTCACTCATTGGCAAAGTATCGAGCTTATTTAGTGCTTATCAGCCATATGGTGTAGGAAGATTTGTGAATACCAGTGATGGCTAACCTCGATATCATAAAACGTTTCTGGACTTCATTTCCCATGATTCTCAGCTAGCTTTTAGACTTAGGTTAGCCATCACTGGTGTACACTTATGTCAGATGGAAAATAATTATTCCTATTCTCAATAGTGGTAAATGAGTTTCCTACCCTAGCCCCACTCAAGGTGCTGCTAAATAAATTATGATATACTAACTTATTATATTTTAATTTAATAAAATCTAAGTTTTCTGTATGTGATAAAATAAATATGGCTTCCAATCGTTTCGTCGCGTTCCCTGATACCCTGATAAGCTGTGGGATGCTGTGTGTGTCATGTGGAACACCCAAACCCATCCTGTAAAGTTAAGGTTGACATCTTGGAGGAGGAAATGTTTTTCAGTTATCTTTTACTCTATATGTTTCCTGGTGGATTTATAATCACAATGTCGTGATATAATGTATAAACAAACACAATCTTGTCATCTACCTCTAAGCCACATATTTTGCTGATGGCCTCTGTCCTAGCCCTAAAAGGACACTCCAAGAACCATGACCCCTTTGCTTTGAAGTGGTCGTGGTGCCTGGGGTCTGTATGCACAGTGTTTCACTTTTAAATGCTGCGTTTGCAGAGATTGAGCCTTTAGCTGACGGAGATGTGTCTCCACTTATAGAAGCATCAAAGTTCCAGCAGGTTAATGTCAATTCTAAACAAAACTGGTGTCTGACACCAACATGCATGTGGATGTCAGATGGGCAATGGCAGCAGCCCCCTCCGTGCCGCCCCTGTCCTCCCCTGGCTGTGTGGGATTGCTATGTTATCTCCTTTCTGTGCCCAGCTCTGTGTTATTTCTCTGTATTTTACGCAGTTCTACTTACAGTATGGGTATCTCTGTAGTATACCCAACTCTGTGTATTGTATAGGCATATTTGTATTGTTTCCAGCTCTGTGTATTGTATAGGTATATTTGTATTGTTTCCAGCTCTGTGTATTGTATAGGTATATTTGTATTGTTTCCAACTCTGTGTATTGTATAGGTATATTTGTATTGTTTCCAGCTCTGTGTATTGTATAGGTATATTTGTATTGTTTCCAACTCTGTGTGTTGTATAGGTATATTTGTATTGTTTCCAGCTCTGTGTATTATATCTATATTTGTTTTTTCAGCTCTGCTTGTGAGTCTGGTGCCCCAGCATAATAAAGCTTCACCAGCTGCTACTCCATGACACCTTAAACTCTTAATCCATTCTTTAATTCTTTTGTCTTCTGCTACATATTATTTCTATTTTCATACAAACACCAGAATGTCTCCCTTCTAACTCACCCTCTCTCTCTCTTCACATGCATTTAGAGCCAGAAGCTTCGAGAAGTTTTTAATCTGGACTTTCCAGAAAACAACTTTTTGGCAAAGACACTGACCGTTGTGACCGGTACAGATATGGTCGACCTTACCTTTCATAACTTTGTATCCTACAGGGAAAACGTGAGCAAGGTATGTAAGTGGATATAGGTTTTGTATTAAACCTCAGATTATGAGAGCAACATGGACTCAAATTTAAAGAAACAACTCGAAGCAGCATAACCCCTACAACTTGCTGCTGTGTTGTCAAGAGTGTCCTGGCATTGTCCCCCAGTCTAATATGAAATTAATTAGGGAAGGCTTGATATAAACCTGGGCTTTTCCCTGTGTTTAGACACAGATCTACTCCTTGGCCATGAGTTGCAGTAGTTATGATGCTCCGAGTGCCGCTTTAAATTATTTAAATCGGCAATGACAACACTAAATATACTGTAATGATTATATGGATTTAATGCTTTGAAATGTGTCACAGTCTGTTTCATCCAGTTGTGTATGCACCATTATCTACACAATATCGTTATAAGGAATCAGATCAGTTGGAACAAGAGCTTAACTAATACCAACATGTATGCTTAGAAAAACACAGCTACAGTAATTCGGGTGCAAAGTGCTGCATTATACTGGTGATAACTCAAAACTAGTGTTTTGCTCCAGAACTGCTCTACTGCTACTTTGCACAGAATGACTCGTAGTGTTATTAAATTGATGTGGTACAAATACAAGTCTGATTCATTTGCAGAATATCCTATATTGTATGATGTAGAGGTGCTTGCTCTCCACGAGTATTGTAATCTAGCACCCTGAATCAGGGAAGCTGAACTTAATAATAATAATATGGATTCAAATAACAGATCGTGAAGTAAGGCATCCACATTGTCCTAGTGTAGTAGAATGAGCTATTAGAGCAGATGAGTCACAAAATATTGTAAGAAATTATCCAATTTCGTGAGTGTTCTGTAAAATTGAGATACAATCGGAAGACACAGATAAAGGTATGTAAGCATGATACACTGCATAACATACTATAAGATCATTTTGACATACAGTTTTGTTGCTTATTACAGCACATTTTCTAAACATGCTATGAGCCTCTTTGTCACAAACATATTATTTACATGATTAGTACTTGTCCATCTTATATATGAGATTGATAACAAATCAATGACAGACAAGATAATAACGGAGATTGACTCGGTGTAGCTTATCTCAGACGGGTCTTTAAATAACAAGATAAACAGATAAACCCATAGAGTTAACTCAAGAGTTTTTTTTCAGTTTGTTTCCACATTTTTCAGGCATTTTTTTTTCTTACAGGATTGGGCTTCGGACATTCTGACATTGGTTACGTACCCACTACTCACCAATGCATCCCGTTACACTTTCTTTGATAAAATGTAAGTGTTGTGTTTTTTTTTTTAATATCTAATTCTATTGAAAACTGCAGCCTCATATTTAGCCTGCTGCTCTAAGCAGCTGTCTTTTACCTTTAGGTAAGGTGTGTATCTTACCTATAGGTGAGGTTATTGGTCTAAAGCAGGCTTCCCCAAACTCCGGCCCTCCAGATGTTGTTGAACTACAACTCCCATGATTCTCGGCCTGTCTATTTCATTCATAGAATCGTGGGAGTTGTAGTTCAGCAACTTGTGGAGGGCTGGAGTTTGGGGAAGCCTGGTCTAGAGGAAACCTACAAAATTAGCAGAATCAGTGAAAGTGTGAGGTGGAAATGCTGTTAGTGTGTGATTTAAAAATAAAATGAAAAGCATTATTAACTCATTCCCAACAAGCCTATGTATATATTGGGGTGATTTTTTTTTTTTTGCAATGAATTGTAATGCAAAACTTATGAAAAGAAACAAACCTTACCCCTTTTCTGTATTGGTCCAATTAGCCCCTCTGTTTCTTTATTTGTTTTTTAATCTATTTTTACAATATGCTGGCTTTTTGGGAAGCTCCAATCCCCAAGGTATCAGATTGCTTAAAACAACCACTGAGCTGGGTATTGATACAGTTTTATTTTTGTAATAGTGTAGCAACTACAATGTGTTACAAAATTGCTGCATACACTTCTACTTTTATTCTCTGAACCTGATTGCAAGACAAGTGCTACATACAATCGCTTATACTTTAACCTCAAACACACAAACCACTAACATTTCCTGCAATATAAAGTCATCAATTTTAGGTGTATGATCTAAACACCAACCTTATTTAACCCCTTAAGGACACATGACGGAAATATTCCGTCATGATTCCCTTTTATTTCAGAAGTTGTGTCCTTAAGTGGTTAAAAAAAAAACAAAAAAAAAAAAACATGCAAAGTACCATGAACTCAGAGCACCATTACCTCTACAATGAGTTACAGTGGTTATGGTGCTTGGCACCCCTTTAAGATTATTTTTATACCTACAGAACTCATAAATATGATCTGACCTTATTATAAACAGTTTTATGACCATCCATTAGCTTCATGCACAGTAATGTATCGGAAATTATTAGATTAAAATGTGATTTACAAAGCTGGCTTTTAGAAAGGAAGTAAAAAGAATATTTTTTAACGTGTGCATTGTCATACTACACAAAGAAGCTATCATTTCTGTCCTGCGTGCTTGTGGTTTACACTTTATTTCTTTGATTTATTTTATGTAGACACGTAAAACTGAAACTTCAGCTGAACGCAGAGGGAAAAATTCCTGTTCGCAAGTAAGTAACAAACTAATGTATTAATGGGTGATACAGTTTGCTATGTTACTAATGGCTAGAAAGAGACACAGAGTTTGAGGAATACTGACAATTATGTTCTTCATCTTTATGGATCTTAAAACAAAAGACGGAAGCCAAAAATAGTTAAACAGGGTTTATAATAAAGTGAAAATATTTATCTGCATTGGATCGAATACAGCCCTATTTAGTGGTTTGTTCAATCCTGGCATTTAAACTGTTAATATGTCTCAGATTCTTGTTTTTAAATGAAAACAGTTAGGTAAACGGTCTACCAATTTTTAATGCTTTATATAGATATTGAATTAAAGAAACAGTCTGAGCACCATAACCACTCCAGCTCTCTGTAGTGTTTATGGTGTCAGGAGTGCACTGGTGTACTGCATGGCTTGTCTGATGAGAGCTAATGGAAGCTCCTTAGGAGTCTTTAGCTCTCCATCATTAGTGGTGGATGCGGGAAGCAGCGGAGCAGACCCCAGGTAAGTGGTCAAACAGTTCTTAAATGGTTTCACTACTTACAGTGAGGGCAGTTGCCATGGCACTGATTGACAGCTCTGGGGAGCACTTTCTGCAGTAGCGTTTTTCTACAAATTATCAGAGCTGAGATTGGGTGCAGGGTACTTACTCTCTGCACTATAAAATCTACAAACTTCTTATAGTGCTTAGATCAGGGGTTCCCAATAGGTAGATTCCCAGATGCTGTAAAACTACAACTCCCTTGATGCTTTGCATGTCTTTAGAATCAGAAAGCATCATGGAAGCTATAGTTTAAAAAAAAATCTAGGGATCTACCTTTTGGGCACCCCTGGCTTAGAGTAACTCTTAGTTTGTTCAAAAACACTACCATTATTATTTAGAATCCAATAGTTTCCTTTTACGTTTTCCACTTTATTAATTCTGGATTAGTCCCCCTCCATACCAACTGCTTCCACGCAGCTTAACGTGATTAAATTAAAGTGATTCACATGCTCAATAAGTGTGTCTATTCTGCTCTGTATTACATTATGAGAATAGCATCCCTTTTATTGTTGTCCCAGTAAAAAAGAAGGTGAAACTTAATGGGAAGATTAAAAATCCTGACATCCATTTTTACTTTTTTACTTTTTTTTAAAATTTTTATAATTATCATAAGGATTAGCAAAAACCTTACAGAAAATAAACTTGGGCTGATTTAAGCGTTTATTAGACCATAACATAGCCAGGTCATATAAAGAATATACCAGTGCCCAGCTGCAAATGCGGTCTTATTGACCACGTATTAGAAATTCAAACTTTGAATGTAAATAGGATACGCAAATTTCCATGTAAACAGCCACGATCAAATGGGCAGTGAGTGCTTTTAATAACATTGTATGTGTATCCAGAACTTCAAAAGTGGGAGACCACATAATTAGTGTATGTCCACAAAGCTGTGATAGATTCTATACAAATGCTGTACAACCATAACTTTTCTAGTACAAAATGTTACATAGCATCTCCTAACGCTGCTAGAAATTCCATGAAGGTATTAACTTTGCTGATAAGAACATTATCACCACCGCAGCTACATGGCCTATTCATTTCATTACCAGCATCTGACAATTCTTTGTACTTTTTACACCCCCTTAGAATGCAAGGAAATTCCGTTTTTTTTCTTTTTTACATATTCTAGTGGTTTTGAGGTTTAGAGAGACATTAACCCATTTGTACAAGATGTTCTCTAATCCAAAGTACAAAACAACAGAAAGCCAAGTGAGAGAATATTTTTCAAAATTTGTGTTTGGAGTGGTGGGTTTTATGAGTGTCAGGCTGCAGCCTTCTTTTGTAACTAATGTTTATTCTTCGAATAGTAAATCCTCATTGGTAAGAAAACACACAGCCATATTTTAAGGTGTCTGTTCTATTTCATCGCAGATCTCTTTGGGCTGTGGACCCCATGGCTTAAATGCTCTTACTGATAAACTGTTTCTGCAGCAGAGTGTGATATTTCCTTTCTATGGATATCCTAGCTGATGTACCACTTCTCATTAATATGATTTTTTATTACGATGTAATATACCCCTCTGAATCAATTCTTTTCTGTTGGATAGTATTTTCCAGATTTTTCCCGCAGACAAAAAGAGAGTAGAGCAAGCACTGACGTCTTGTCACCTAGCAAAAGGAAAAGTAAGTTTCATTTCTTTACGATCAGTCAGTTCCTGTACGATCAATATACATATAGGAGGAATTGTGAGACTGAAGTATATATCTGAGTCATTTCAATGACTGTATTTATTGCAGATCGACTTTTGTCAGAGCATCATGCCCAAGGTCATTGAATAATAAAAAATGCACACTACTCAATAGCGTTAATAAAAAAATATATATATTTGTAGTTACACAAAGCCATATATTAATATTTATAACTTGTGTATCTGATGGGAATCTACCATACACTGAGAGTATTTGAATTGCTCAGTATTCTTTTTTCCATTTCCAAATAAAAAATCTACCTTTGTTTTCTTATATCTGCGCAATATTAATAATGAAATCGACAAATTTAACCAACTGTATTCAGGGTTTGGGACAGTGCTTCATGCTCTCTAATTGGTTTTCAGAATGATTCAATTAACCCTGAGGATTTTCCAGAATCAGTCTTCAGAACCTTCCTCATGCACCTGTGCCCACGGCCAGAGATTGATGAAATCTTCACATCTTAGTGAGTCACTAAATGAAATGCACTCCTGAACTTAAAAAAGTGAAAGAAAAAAATGTAAATCTCATAGAGTAGATCATAAGGTGAAAAAATGCACAATGTAAACTGTTTAAAGTTGAGTCGTAGGTCAGAATCAGCCTTTCATTCTTCTTTGGTCAGCCTTTCCTTCTTCTTTGGTCAATGTAATTAGTACTCAAGTTGGCTAACAGCAACATTCAAAGCTTAGGGCAAGGGTACGCAACCTTCAGACTGTTGTGGACTACATTTTCCACAGGAGTACCGAAGGTTGCCTGTCCCTGGCTTAGGGTATACTTGTATGCAAAAAGAGTGCTTTAATGTAGGATTCAAAGTTTGACACTTTTTACTGTAAGAATGCAAAAATAAAGTTTGGAAATGGGTAAAACAAACAGGTAGCCATCTTTGTGACCACGTTATAAGCAAGCGTGGGATAGGCATAAGGCTATTCTAGCTATAAGATAAGGCCAGGGACTAATGAAAGTATTTAGAAAATTGGGCAGACTAGATGGGCAGCATGGTTCTTACCTGCCATCACATTCTATGTTTCGTATGCTTTTATTTTGTAAAATATTCATCTTCTGTTGTGTTCTTAGCCACTCGAAGGCCAAGCCCTACATGACGAAGGACCATCTCACCAAGTTCATCAACCTGAAGCAGAGAGACTCCCGACTAAATGAGTTGCTTTTCCCACCTGCCAAACATGAACAGGTGCAACTTCTTATCGAAAAATACGAGCCAAGCGTGATCAATGTACAGAGAGGTGAGACCCATATATTAAACAAAAAAACTTTATAGTGAACGAGTGTGATACGGTGGACTTACAATATTCTGATTTTCTTTGTGTCCATGGTGGTTATTTGAATTTGTCCATGTTCGTTGTTTTTTTTTTTCTTCTCATTGATTTTTCTCTCTCTTCTAGGGCAGCTGTCTCCGGAAGGAATGGTCTGGTTCCTTTGTGGATCAGAGAACAGCATTGTAGCAGTAGAGAAATTACCAGTGAATCAGGACATGACCCAGCCACTATCCCACTACTTCATCAATTCCTCTCACAATACCTACCTCACAGGTACTGCTCTCATAAATTAATACAATACAGTAACCCATCCATAATACCTACCACACAGGTCCTGCTCTCATAAAACAATACAATACAGTAACCCATCCATAATACCTACCACACAGGTCCTGCTCTCATAAAACAATACAATACAGTAACCCATCCATAATACCTACCACACAGGTCCTGCTCTCATAAAACAATACAATACAGTAACCCATCCATAATACCTACCACACAAGTCCTGCTCTCATAAAACAATACAATACAGTAACCCATCCATAATACTAACCTCAGAGGACAATATAATACAGTAACCCATCCATAATACTAACCTCACAGGTGCTGCTCTCATAATACAATACAGTAACCCATCCATAATACTAACCTCACAAGTCCTGCTCTCATAAAACAATATAGTACAGAGTCTCATTCATAATACCTACCTCACAGGTCCTGCTCTCATAAAATATAAAGCAGGCGCCCATCCAAAATATTTACCTCACAGGTATTGTTTCCATAGCACAGTATAACACAGGAACCTATTCAAAACCCTTACCTCACAGGTACTGCTCTGTCATAAAATGCGTTACCTGGACTCCATCTATAATACCGACAAAGTTACTCTCCCTGTCAGAAAAACTAGAAAAACCACTTTATTTTATTTATTCTCAGCTGGTCAATTTTCTGGAGTCTCCTCCCCTGAAATGTACAGACAGACCTTACTCTCGGGCTGCCGCTGCGTAGAACTGGATTGCTGGAAAGGCAAACCACCGGATGAAGAGCCGATTATCACACATGGCTTCACCATGACGACTGAGATTCTTTTTAAGGTGAGAGGTGACCTCACAGTACTCTCAGACATATAAATTAAACCTGTGAGGGGGCACTATTCTGATAATCTCTACAACAGATGCACATATATCAAACAGGGTTATTCACTAAAACAGTGCTGGATTAAGAGTCTATTGGTAAGTTACTGACAATCATGATAGGCCTAATCAGAGAGTCTTAAACACAGAAAGCACTACAAAAGTCACACCTCCCCCGTGTCTTGGTTCTGATGGAGCTAGTGCTGGAGCGACTCTTGCAAGATGCATTTTAGAGGAAGACTCCGATGGGATGAATGGATTTTATTTTTTGTTATATCTTGGTAGATATACCCCAAATAAAGAACATGCAAGCATTTCATTATGTGTTTCTTCATTGTGGATACATCTAAAAACAGCTTGCAAAAGTTGCAGTTCTCTTGTTTGCAAGCCCACCCTTTCTAATCCAGCCCAAATGGTCTATGGCTGACCAATCATAGACTCCCCAATGCAGCTCAGTGAGACTTCTTTGCAAGGCAGGTGTTCTGGACATTTTCTGCCTTTTGAGTTTGAACTATCCAAACCAAGAAGTAACAGAAGTGGTTGTATAATTGACAGCCAAGTGGCGTGTAACAAGATTATTTATAAAAGTGCCAATTTCTATTGAAATCCACACTTTTTGCAAAATGGAGGGGAAAAAGAAGACACTCTTCATACATAAAGCACATCAGCAAGCTAAGGTGTTCCTTTAAGCCTATACATACGCTCTATCAAACTTTCTATTCTGTCTCTCAAACCAGTCTATCCCCACAGGTCTTTACTCCTGTCTCTCACTAATCACAAACTCTAAATCCTCTCTCTTCAGGACTCAATTGTTCACCACTCTCTTTCCCTTCTAACCATTAGTAAGTTTGTTAATTATTTTATAGCCAGTCAGCCCACTACAGTTATTTAATTTTTTATTGTTGCATCCCTCATATGTTCCAATTCTTCCTGCACTTTATTTAAGAGCAGGTACATATGAAGAGTATAAGGCTAATTTAGGCTTATTTTAAGGAACGGAGCTCCATTGGCTCCTATATTAATCCGGTCCTGCACTAAAATGTAAATGGTCAGGGTGCTAAGTGATTGCAGAATAACTGTGAAATATTTGTGGCCACAATAGCCAGGCTGAACAGCTCCATTTTCACATTGGCTTTACATTTTGAAATTCATTTTTAAATCACTTATACTCCGACAGTTCACACCATGGTAAATTGCCCTGTCAATATGACGACCAGAGACGAGATCCATTCCCTCCATCCTTCCATGCTCCAACAGTTGGTAGCCAGAAGGCAATCGAAAACATGTTATCATTTTTCAAAAGAGTGGGAAAAAGGGTAAAGGGCAGCCCCCAGGCAGGAATTGTGAGAACAAAAAAGGCACCTGTTATGTTGACTATAAACAATAATACCAATTATTTTCCTTATAATGAACATAAATTAAACCATGTATTTACTCAAGACTAGAACTGTAAATGACCAACTTGATAACTATTGGGGATGACAATAACAGAATATTATATAAATACAATCCTTGGTATCATTCTTTTTTTTTTTTTTTAAACCCTTTCAATAAATCTTGGTTGGTTTGTTATTTTGTGAATCTGCTGATAACACTCCCAGCTTTTGAGGCAGCCAGGGTTATTCAGAAAAAAACACAAACTGCTCGGAATTCACCAGGGTAACTGCAAAATTAAAGCCAAATAGCCAAAGTGAAACAAATCTGTTGGTGTAAAATTTGCAATTCCTTGTTCAGTTCACAAAAAGTCTAGTTTTAATTATTATTTTGTGATCAACAGGATTACTTGCTCACTAGAGAATGTGCAAGACAGATCAGGAACAATTACTTCCTGGAACAGGAGTGTGGCACCAGGAAATAATGTCTTCTTTTTGTCTTATACCACATGTACATGGGAAACGTGTAATCCAATCACATTACGTTTCCTTTTTACTGTAAGAACAATAAGGATGTGGAATTCTCAGCCTGAAGAGGTGGTTTTATCAGAGTCCATACAGATGTTTAGACAGCAATTGGAAAAAATACTTGCAAAAACATATATATAGAGATATAATTTTTAATTAGTGAGTTAAGTTTCTTGATCCAAGGAGACGTGCCATTCTGGGGTCAAGAAGGAATTTCTTCCTAGTCTGTTGCAAAATTGGAAGCACTTTTTTTGCCTTCTTGTAGATCAACAGCAAAAATAAATGTGAGAAAGGCTGAGCTTGATGGATGCATGTGTCATTTCTGCTGTGTAACTATGTCATTAATGTGCTTTGGTCAAGTTTGTTTGTCTTTACTGTAATATAACTAATATTCATGGCACTGAATGTCATGCTTTTCCTGTTAGGATGTGATTGAAGCCATCGCCGAATCTGCTTTCAAAACATCTCCTTATCCAGTGATTCTCTCCTTTGAGAACCATGTTGACTCGTGAGTACTATTTACTATTTACAGAACGTAAAGTGTATTCATGACATGGAGGCAAGTATTAATACTTAAAAATATTTTCTTTGCTGCTGAAGGAATTAAAGACAGAGTGCAGCATTAATACAAGCCTCCGTTTTCAATAACATTTACATTTGTCACGCTAACATATTTAATGCCGTTAAACCGGTCCTAGTTGTGACGGTAAGGGTTTTTTTTTTTGCTGTTTTTTTCCTTCTGTCACCCACTAATAAATTTTTCATCTGATATTTGAAAGGAATCATAACCAGTACTGCTCAGAATAGTGATTGTGTTGCCAAGATTAACTGGGTGATGTTCCTCCTTTTTATATGAAACCGTTTTGGAAATGTTTGACCAAAACAACAGAAATCTCTGTAGTATGAGGAGACTGCTCCCTCTTTCGGCACACTGATAATACAGTACTTACACATCTGCTTTCAGTGTCAGTTGTGTCAAATCTGGATGGTAGATATAGACTGGAAGCATAAGGGCAGGTTGTAGTTGTGATATTGTTTAGAGTGTCCCTTTAAATGAACACTAACCACCATAACCACTTCTCACCTGCGGTTTGCCACGTATCGCTCCTTGAAAGCTAGAATGTCTCTCTCTGAGATAAGCATGGCTTACCTCACTGGGTGAGAGCGATCATCTAATGCGGTTAGCCAATTAACTAGCCCTGCATTGCACAGTTTAGCTCAGGAGTGCTCACAGGAGTTTCTCCATTGTAGCCTCAGGGAGGTGGGAAGGGTGCCCCATGGACCCCAGGTAAGAAGTTTAACTGTCCTGAAACAGACTACAGTGATCCTTAGTGGTTATGTTGCCTGGAGTGTTCCTTTAATAGATCTACTACAAAGAAGGTCTTGTAATGATTATGGTTTTATGGCACAGGTAACTTCAAAGGGAAAAAAAACAATTGATGCAGTAATTGCTAGATCAATTGTCGTTCAGCCTTTTCCTGCATTTTCACCCAAATGTATGCTTGAATACCTCCTAAATGATGATCTTGATGTATCCATCTATTGTTAGTGCTGACAATGCTCTTGTTTAGTTTAGATTATAAGCCCTTTAATTGTAATATTAATATTGCTTGTACAGTATAGTCTATTTTATGCTTTTAATTAACAACAACAAACAAATCTGTATTGTAAAGGGAATATTTTGTTGATGGATATCAAAATACATATTTATTTATCCACCCCTCTAGGGCTAAGCAGCAGGCGAAGATGGCAGATTACTGTAGATCCATTTTTGGAGACATGTTGCTGACCGACATACTGGAAAAATATCCGGTGAGTGAATCAAAAAATGTCACAATTTATGTGCCACATTTTTTTTATATAATACTTTTATACCCTACAAATTTGTAACTATTTATTTTATTTTAAAGGTATACTCAAAATATACTACATGTTTTGCAGCAATAAGTAACAGCTTCTAATTGCAGGCTTAATTTCTTTTAAACCGTGTCTAAACCTTACGAGTTTTGTGTTAACAGATGAGGAACCATTTTGTTTTAAGAAAGCCTACACTGAGGCATCCCAAAAATTACCTGACACCATATGAAGAACAGTGCATACTTTATTTTGATTCAAAACTTTTAGTACAGTGTTAGAAATGGCAAATACATTCATTCTTCCTGATTAAAACACTTTTCAAGCTGCATGAAAGCAGGACAGGTTCTGTAAAAGTTCTGCAAATAACTTTACAAATTTTACATTTCACAGCTCTTAAGCTTTAGCTGTCCGCACCAGGATGTGAGAAACCTTAGGGCTTCCGAAAGCACTGGGCAAATGGCTAATAAGAATTCTACCACTATGTGCAGTAGCCGGTATTTCAAGGGTTGCCAGTGGTGACAAGTATGGGAATTGAGTTTAAAAATGATTTCCATGGTGGGTTATAGGAGTTGGGTTTCGTGGAGGTGGGAGACTGAAGGTGGCTGAATAAATGATGTGTTCAAAGTTGGAGAGTAATAAAAGAAATAACTTACCTGAAGCATGTACAGGGCTTGGCTGGTGGGGTTTCGGTACCTTTTCAGGGTTGCTGGCACCAACGTGGTTGTAGGCACCAACAGTGTATTCCAATTTGGTGGCAGCGGCGAAGGCCTGATGGATCGGGAACAGCTCGTTTAGTGGCGGCATGACTTGCAGGCCTGAGTTTCGCATTCGGTGCCCGAAGATCGCTAGAAATGGTTCACAGAATGCCTCCAAAATGGCACGAGCGTAAAGTTGTGCCATAAGACTCTTCACCAAGATGATTTTGGGTGTAGTGGTTCCAGTTGGAGGACCAGATGGCTATGGAAGAGTATTTTGTCTCTTTCGAAGTGCGGCCAGTTCAGGAAGTCTTTGAACTCGCAAGTACTTTATTTATGTGGTTATCTTGATAAAAAGACAACATAAAAGATGGATCACATTGACATTTTTCCTATAAAATATAGACTGTGGGGTTTTCTTTATCAGATGGAAATATGTTTGAAAGCTGTGTCTTAATCATTTTTCAGCTGAAACCTGGATCCCCATTGCCTAGCCCTCAGGAATTATTTGGAAAAATCCTAATTAAAAACAAAAAGAATCAGTCTTTCATAAGTCCTGAGAAAAAGGCACAAACTAGCGATGCAACTTCTGCAGATCCAACGAATTTAAGTGAAAAACCAGGTACAAAAATGTAAAACAAATCATTCTTGCTAGTTTATTTTCAGTGTGTATATATGTGTGAGTCTGTCTTGTTTTAAATACATTTGCCAAGATCTCTTTGTGAGTATTGCTATATTTCTCAACGTCCTATAATGAGACAAATTTGATGTTTGTATGTAGATGAAGGGACGGAAGAGGATGCAGTGAAGGAGACAGAAAATGAAGAGACGGCAGAAAACTTAAATGAAGAAGAGATGAAGCAGATGCAGTCGGATGAGGTGTTTGGTCTTGTTTTGTTTTTTTCCTCAGTTTTGAAGGCTAGACCTTAAAGGGACACTATAGGCACCAAGACAACTTTAGCGTAATGAAGCAGTCTTGGTGTATAGATCATGCCTCTAAAGTTTCACTGCTCAATTCACTGCAATTTAGGAGTTAAATCACATTTGTATCTGTTTATGCAGCCTTAGCCACACCTCCCCTGGCTGTGACTGACTGCATAACAAAACGGTTTCATTTTCAATCAGATGTAACTATAAACGTTTTTATCTCCTTCTCTGTAAATTGAACTTTAATAGCACACAGGCAAGCTATGAACAGTATAAACAAATCAGAAGATAAGAGAATCTAAATTAAACAGAATTTGCAATAAAGGAAGTGTAAACATTAGATTATTTTTTACAGGAAGTGTTTAAAGGCTGTGTAAGTCACATGCAGGGAGGTGGGTCTAGGGCTGATTTAAAAAAGTGATTTAACTTCTAAATGGCAGAGAATTGAGCAGTGAGACAGCAGGGGCATGGTCTATACATCAAAACTACATCATTAAGCTAAATATGTTTTGGTGACCATAGTGTCCCTTTATCATGGTGTCTTATCACCAAAAGCTTTAGTGTTCTTGTGGCATATAAATGGGCTGCACAACATGTTAGTAGATTCTATTTCTGGATCAAAAGATACAAATGTTTTTAAAATGTGCAACATGAGCTACTTCACAGAGGCAACACTTGATTAATGCTTTGGATTTTTTTAAATATAGTTCCTTTTGCAATTACAAGTAAATAGAAGTAAGACAGATGTACAGAAAGACAAAGTATTAATGTGACAGTCTGGGTATGTATATTGTTCACTCGCTTTTCTTAACGAAGATACTGACCAGCTGAGAGCGTCAGCTGACGCTTGCTGCCCATCAGTGGTGCCAGGTCCAATGCTTCTTGATTCAAGCCTTGGACAGTCAGCAGAAGTACATAGGCAGAACAAATGGGTCAGTTTGATAACTTTGGGGTTAAACTCCTTCAGGTAAGCGTGGACCTCCTCCAACCATAACAACTTAATTGTGATTAAGCGGCTATGGTGCCCAGAGTGTTCCTTCAAACAAATTCAGAGGTCATAATCAATGCATAAGAAAACACACAGATAAAACTGTTAAATGGATCATAAAACTACAAAATATAATCATATCATTATAAAATTCCGAAATCAAAAAAGATAGTTTGGGAGGGGTGATAATGGGAAAGACCATGCTACATCTAAAGGAGAGGGTGAGATGTGACATTGCTTGTATGTCAACCAAGGTGTTAAAATAGTGACTGATTGCTAAACATAGGTATAGACCTCATTTAAAAAAAATACAAACATAAAATACAGAGAAAATTACGTTATCCTTCCTGGAATTTTGCCATCTATAAACATCTTTAAACGGACCAAAGCAATTTTCATTTTACCTTATGTAGTTTCACCACAGTAACACAATATGCACAGTATTCAACCATAACCTCCCAGCCTCGAAACGTAGTCCAAACAACAGCTAGAGAGCAGATTATTAATCCTGAACCCACCTAGGTTTGTGTTTTCTAAATCCATTTTGTATACAATATAAAGTTGTTTAACCAGAAAATGTAATTCAGCTTGTGCTTGTACCTCCTGGGTATTGCTACGATTACTCTAGTGCCGGGGTAGGCAACCTTCGGCACTCCAGATGGTGTGGGCTGCATCTCCCAGAATGCTCTCACAGCTATAATGCTGGCAAAGCATTAGGGGAGATATAGTCCACACTATCTAAAGTGCTGAAGGTTGCCTATCCCTGCACTACTGAACGGTTAGGCTGTGAGGTAGGCTGAACTTGATGGACGCAAGTCTCTTTTCAGCTATGTAACTATGTAACTATTAAATTGACCTCGGGAGGATGAAGCGCTGTGTCTGGAATCAAACTTGAAGTTTAAACAGTTACTAATGAACAATCTTTTAAATTTAATGTTGTGGAAAGTTTGCCCTGCATAAAGGCTGGCCAAAAAAAGATCTCCTGCTGCTAGAACTACACCTTCCATGAAGCCTTTTTTTGCCATGGGTCTACATTTTGGCCACCCTGCCTTCGAAAGTTAAACATTAATCATTTACAAACAATAAATTGTTGACTTGCAACCCTTATGTATTGTTACTTACGCTCTTCTTTCCTCTCTCAGGGAACAGCTGGTTTGGAAGCCACTGCCTACGAGGAGATGTCTAGTTTGGTCAACTACATTCAACCAATCAAATTTGACTCATTTGAAGTCTCAGCACGTAAGAGAATTCTGTAAAATATGTTGGTTACTCCTGCTTTAAGTTTGCTATTTTAAAGGCTTTCAGACATTATGCTAGTATTTTGGATGGAAGTCCAGGATTCTGTTGTGACACTGAGTACTAGGCATGTAGGTTTTTGTAGTATATTGGGTGAAACATGTTACTACTCTTGGAGTGCTTTTGACCGTTACCTTTTCTTTATTGGTTTGTGCTGCAGACCTGTTTCTTTGGTCCTACCCTCCAACATCATCTCACTGGACTTCTTCTTGCAGCATTTGAAGTTCTCCTCTTCTTTCCCCCTAACACAGACTTTCAGACTTTTCCTATTGAGAAGCCATGTGCATGGGGTAGCAATGGAGGATACAGGAGCCAAGCAGGTAGAAGGCTCCAGGGACAGGAGCAATGAGTCCTGTGTATGCACGCTCTCACAGGCTCACTATGATTTGGGGGGCATTAGTATGAGAGCTCTAGCAGAGCGTGCTTACCCCTTCCATCCATTAGCTGGAGCTCCATTAGTGAAGCTAACGGAATGCGGAAAATAACCTCCCTGGTTGTTTGTCAGCCGGGAACGGGGCTGAAGTGCTTTATATGCGTGGAGTGGTCCTTAAAAGTTAGGTCTGAAGAGCCTTAGAGCAGTGATCGGTCACACTACAGATTACAGCAGTGAGAACTATTTGAGGCTGTGGATAAAGTATTTTTTGCTCACATAGTGTGCTAAAGATCTTAACCCTTGTTTATCATTATACCTGGAACTGTATGTATGTTAAAGTCAACTATATATTCAATGGGTTTAAAGTAGATAATCTGTTTTGACTTACATATTATTTTGCTTGAATAGATCTGATTCTTTTTTTTTCTTCTTTTCCAGAAAAGAACCAAAGTTACGTCATCTCTTCATTTGTCGAAACCAAAGCTTATGACCTTCTGACAAAGTTTCCTGTTCAATTTGTCGAGTATCCTTTCTGTGGAATGGATATAGAGATTGAAAGCTCTGTCAACAAGCAATCACACATACATACAATATCTACTTAGCTACAATGTTATATCTGATATAGATAAATATATATATCAAATAAACCATTTCAGTGGTTAGTATCTTTTATTTTTTTAATTTTATATTATTTTTTATCACTAATCTAACAAGAGCCCTATGTTAGTGTAAGCACGATAACTGTAATGTTTGGACTTCCTATAAAGTTTATATAGATATAACAAGAGACAGATGAGTCGTATCTATCCAAAAGGCACAAGGATGGACTCCTCCAACTACATGCCTCAGATGTTCTGGAACGCAGGTTGTCAGATGGTGGCATTGAACTTCCAAACTATGGGTAAGTAGACATTAACACATTAAAGTGCTCTCTGCCAGAACAGTTTGCCACCATTGTCCTTTATCTGTTACCTTACCTATTTGAGAAACAATACATTGCACATTTGTGGGTATTCCACTTCATGGACACTTTAACATTACTGAAGGCTTTTCCCCCCAGGTCTGGATGTTTTGCCTTTGTTGTTTTTAATTTATTTAAAACTGGTCCAATGTTGATCCTAGCATGGTTTATAATGATCTCCCTGTACGATCTTCTACCATTCATTTAATCGACACATGTAAAATACACTTGAGTTGCACCTTATTTACATTTCCTTGTTGTCAGATGTGGCCATGCAGCACAACATGGCGATTTTCGAGTTCAATGGCAGCAGTGGGTACATTTTAAAACATGAATTTATGCGACGGGCAGACAAACAGTTTGATCCATTTACAGTTGACCGGATTGATGTGGTTGTAGCCAACACCCTTTCTATAACTGTAAGTATGAGGACGGGAGCTTCTATCTATTGTTTTATGAAACAAACCCCTGATATATAAATAATTGTTCTGTTTTGAGTTTCAGATTCTACGACCTCACTGTATGTTAAAACAATAGAAGTTATAGACCGCAAAGTAATTACACTTCCACTTAAAAAAAAAAATGTGGTCTGTCTCATAATCACCTATTTTTTATGATTGCACCAGTGAAATCAACTTGTATATAGTATTCTTTTGTACATGTGTATACTAGAAAAATGCGGTTGCTGTATTCTCCGTTCCCTGAGGCAATGTTTGTGTTGTCATATATAGAATATACTGTAATCTGAATGCACATTTACCTAGGTACCTGATTCAAGAATGTACAATCACATGAATTGCAAGCCTATTATTAGATTGTCACTTGACGCGAGGTGCAACAAAACAGTCAGGGGGGACTGCGTAGGATGAAAGTGTCAGGTGCCTTACATTTTATCCCAGCTGCTGATATATGCAGAAAGTGTCTAAAAACACATTAACTGATTAAACCTCTTCCTGTTCATTCCCCTAAATAATCCCTAACGCGTAATAGAAATCACATTCCTCTCACCAATTTGGCCTTCTTGGGGACATTTCCCAAAGCGGGATGCTGATCCTTGGTGGCGTATTAGCATCAAAATGAAGGGAAAATGTGTCACTCCATTTCTGCACTCCTCTAGCAAATGCAAGGCTCACTAGAGAAATATGTTAGCAGAACAGAGAGCAGGAGAACCTTCTGCAGAGATATACAGGGACATCCCAAATCCTCTCAATACTCCGATATAAAGGCAGGAGAGCTAGCCTTGTTTGATTAAAGAATATTTATTCACACAGTCAATGGGATACAACATTTCAGTCTAATCCAATATGTACCAGCAAACAGAACCCACCAATACAGAATATCACGTGTGCAGGATTGGACCGCAACAATACAGCCACAATGACACTAAAGTGATTAAGTACATTCGTTAAATATAGAGGTCACCTTTATAGATCAAATACACCATATATACAGTGGGAGGAGGGAAAAAAAGCAATGTGATCAACCAAAACAGAAATATAAGCCATGTGATCAACCGAAACAGGTAGAGGATAGAGTTCCTGCAGTCATTTGGAGATCCAGTTAATTATAATATGGGATAATATGGGGGCTCTCTGCTAATATGGTCTCCTAGAGGAGAATGTTAGTTTTATTTTGTTCACATTTAATCTCTGGGAAGGACATGGTGTTGAAAGGTAAGCTTTTATGGTCCAATAGCAGGTTGAAGGTTCACAACGTTCATTGGAAGGGTGTGAACATATGCACAAAAAAGAATGGTGCTTGGAAAATCTCCATGTTTATTTTCAGAATTATCCTGATGTGTTATAGTTCTAAGGCATTAAACAACTCTGAAAGAAATGGATTAAAACGCGTTGTAAAAAATCACAGAAATTAGATGTTCACCACACAGAGGGAATATTCTAACGTTTCCATGTTCCAGCTCTTTAAACCATTTGTGTAAATTACATTTCAGATTGCATGTTACTATATGTTTGCTAACACCTTTATGACATTTCTGATTTGCCATTTACTATCTTTATCAATAGGTATTATCAGGACAATTCTTATCGGATAAAACTGTAAAAACATACGTAGAGGTGGAATTGTTTGGGCTGCCGGGAGATCCAAAGCGTAAATACAAAACAAAACTAACGCCAACAGCAAACTCCATCAATCCAGTGTTTAAAGAAGAACCATTTGTGTTTGAAAAGGTATATCTGTACTGCATGGTCTGCCTTGCATACTTTTGCTCATTTAAGAAAATATGATTTTTTTAAATAATGCTTTAGAATGAGGTGTCTGCCCACTTCCAAGCAATACTTCCTACCAAAATTTCATAAAGACCCCAGTAAAACCCTGAGCCAACCATTTGTGGGTATCCTGAACTAATTGCGAATACTCAGCACTACGTATCACTATTTACAACATATTCTCTCTCTTTTTACATCAATATGTAGGTCATTGACAGTATATACATTTGGTATTTCTTTACTATTCTCTTTGTTTTTGTATGGTTTATTACTTTTAAAGCACATCATCAGTAAAGGTTGTTTTTGTAAATGAGCTTTTAAGGTCAAAATATAGGTTTCCTTTTGTGACAAACGCCTGGTCTGGTCATTTGCCACGAGCTCCTGGAGGAGCCTGCTAGCCAGCCTCCTGCCTCAGGATTATGGGCCATACAAAATACCCTGCAAACTACTCTGTTTGTGTGATTTGGGATTATGTTGTTCAGGAACCGAACAACATGAGCTTGTTAAGCCCAATTGACACATTGTTACTAGTTCCACCGCAGTGTTCTAATTGTTCGTCAGGGTGGCCGCATTTCGTATGAATGACCACAAGGTGGCGGCCATCTTGTTCCCACGAACGCAGGCAGCTGTGTTTGGGCATCAATCTCCTGGAACTAAAATTGGACACGGAAACTCTCAAACAGCGCTGGACTTCCATCATCTCCTGCGTTAGGTTCTATAGAAGGGCACTGTTGGGTGGAAACATTCCCATGAACAAGGTGAACAAGCTCCAGGGTAGAACTATGGATTCTGTTCGGTAGTTATTTTACTTTTAAACTATCGAACTTGACTGACCGTGATTTTTGGATATGTTGGTCACCCAGATCGGGGCTATCAGGGGATGTAACTTTTGTGGGGTTTTTATTTGTTTTGGGGTATTTCTGTTTTTTGCCTGTTTCTGTACTGAGAGATAATTAAATTATATGTTTGTGTGCTCAGATAATTATGTCTCAGTCACAGGGGAGGACTATGTTAGATGTTTGCTTGTAACTAGACTCCTCTCAGGTCCAGGGGGAGGGATTATCCTGTTTTGTGTGGGATTGTTATGGGTGTGTTTACTGTGTCCCTATATGGTATAAAATCAGGCCATTGAGCCTGGATTAAACACATTCATTTTACCCTTCATCAAGTCTAGGCTGATATTTGGGGACTTGAGAGCTATAATCACTGCATCACTTGGGATTTGGGACACTTACAGCGGATATACTCTGCCGGAGTATAGGGGATCCATAACACCTTTCTCTGGATCTCTTGACGATTAGGCGGTTATTCTATATTGGTCATGCAATCACTGACACTCTTATTCACCAAAGTGTGACTTGTCAGTAATTAAAAGGTGAATTTTTTAAAGTGAATTTAAAATTGTTGTATATAGCCAGAGTGTAAATGTAGCTAACTTGGAGAATTTTTTTTTTTTTTTAATTCTTTATTTTTGCAGTGCATGAAAATGATACAGGCAGGCTTGAGGTGCCCCAAAAGCAGTCCTCAGGCTGTTCCTCCGCGTTACATGCGGGACAAATGTCTATCAAGCACAATTTTTTTTTTAATATAAACATGCTTAGTCAATCATACTTTAAGCTGTAAGAAGTTAAGATAGCTAGTTCAGAATCGTTTTGTATGAGGTTGTGACATAACTAGGAGTATTTCTATGTTGCTTGCCGAAAAACCTAGGCTGAGAACAGTACAGGTCATGCATATATATATATCAGTAGCTGTACAGATAAAGTAGTACTCCTAGGCTTCACGTGGCTTACAGGCTAGGCCTTGAGCACTCAGTGCAATACAAAAAAATCACCTTTTAGCAGTAGATGCCCAGTTTTATCAGGGCATGGGCACAGTTATACAGTAAGTTGCTTGGAAGTTATCGTTACATAACAGGCTGACTAAGCATTAAATCTGAGTAACATTCTATCTTTCGTGGTTTACTATGAGTGTAACGAACATAAGATCACCAATCTCAAGGTCTATTCATGCTGATGCAATATCATTAACTGTGTGATTCTTCGGTGATAAGATTAAACATCTAGCGCCCTATGCTTAACTAATAGAAGGCTAATATAAACAAGCGTGAGTAAGGTATACTATGGTTGGCAAAAAGCATTTGTCAGCACATGAAATCAAACTGGTATGCAGCGGTCACCGGCACGGCACTTGCATCTGGACCCGTGGGGTAGCGTATGCGGGTCATAAGAGAGTTTGTGGTAAGTCACTATTTATCCTATTCCTTCTGTGGGAATGCGGCTGAGGCTCTCCGGTTGGTCCAGAGGAGGTGCTGACGCTCGGCCGGTGGTGGGGGTGTCCCTCTTGCCCCAAGCTGGTGTGCAGGCCTGCGTCTTCTGGCCTGAGACTCGGTGGCACACGTTGCCCGAGTGTCTCCCCCTCATGGGGGTGGCGGGAGGTCTGTATGTTGATTGCCGTTTGTGTTTCCGCCTATGTGACCGACGCCTTCGGGTCAAGGCCCTTTTGGCCTGCAGCCCGGGTGGGCCGGGGTGGGTGAGTGTCAGCTTTTGGTCTCGGGTTGCGCCCGACGGAGTCCCCCTCTCGCCCGGCCGCCCATAGCTCCCCTCTCTTGGGTCCATGGGATCCTGTCGCTTTGTCTTGGTGCGCTGTGCGCGCCGCTGGAGCTTCTCCCAGAAGTCGTTGAATAGTGCATCCAGACGCTGCATGAGGTCTGTGCCGCAGTCGGAGCTCTGCTTAGCTGCTTCAAGCTGAGTTGCTGCGAGTACTCCGCCGCCATTTTCGATGGGCCACGTGTCGCCGGCCCTGGTGTCCACACGCTGTGTATAGGCTCAGACTGGGCCCGCGGCGAGGACCGGGATATCCCCCACCGGTCCGGGGGGGGGGGGCGGGCAGGATGATTGAGGGTCTAAGTGGTCGTGGAGCAGGAAGGTGGAAAGGAGAGCGGCCGTCTCCCCTCTGCCAGCCATCCTGTAGGCCTCGGTCACCGCAGCTAGGGATCTCGGGTGGTTAGCTAGTCGATTTGGGTGTCCAGAGTTGCCCCCCGAGGATCCCAATTCAGTTATGCCCTTTAGAGTAGTTCTGTGCCAGTTTTACTGGGTATTTTCCCCAAAATCAGGCAGATAATGCAGGAGCTGGGTTTCAGCACGTCCACTCTGCTTGGCAGCTAGGCTCCGCCCCCTAACTTGGAGAATGTATTTCCCAATGTGGCTATTTATGTATGAAATTTGCTTTGGATTCCTAACAATTAACATTTTAGTAAATATTCCTACTAATCTTTAACTAAATGTTGGTTAAATAAGTAGCATTTAAGGATTACTCCAAGCATCAAACCCACTAGAACCTGCTGTTGTAGCTGTGCTATTCCCTGCTAATGGGGCAACTGTAATAATAACAAAGTGTTTAAGCAGGAAAGGCACTTTCAGATATTCCCTGGTTTCCAAATACGTCCTGGGGTAAATCATATAGCAGTGGGTTGCCACTGAGGTGGTGCTAGATGCTAATCCTGACATTCATTCATTGTCCGAGAGCGTCGGCTCTGGCCAACGAAGGAATCTGTTTGCACAGAATTAACATTAGCCAACCCAGAACTCTCATTCCAGGCTCCAGGTGGAGTTAAAAAATATTTTAGTATGTAGCTTTTCATATTATAACACAGCTTATACAGAGCTTGCACCATCACCACTTCCAAATACTAGTGTCCATGGTGCTTGAAGTAACCCTTTAAGTAAATGGCTATGGATTCATAGACATGACTAACAGCAATGGCATTAAGTTAGTTTTTCCTTAAACTGTGAAGTTCTTTGTATTGTTAATGTTGGGGAATTTAATGTAAGGTTATTGATACTATTGTTTTCTTTCTTTATAGATTCTAATGCCAGAGATTGCTTCTCTGAGAATTGTGGCATATGAGGAAGGAGGGAAGTTTATTGGCCACCGGATTATTCCTATTGATGTAATTCGATCAGGTAAAGCTGAGCTTTTTTAGAATGTTCTCGGGATTTCTCTGTTCTTCTACATGATATGTATGATCAGAACTATATCCCACAGATAACAAAAAAACCTCACATCTTTAATGGCCAGTGGCTCACAGCCACTCACTTATTGTGGAGATACCAAATACATCCCTCTAAAAACATCTCATGGTACTGTTCATCTAGTCCTACAAATGTCATTCACATATCGTTATAATATTTAGAAAGAATAATCACTGAGCAGACAGATAATATATAGATCAACACTCACGTATCACACAGCAGGGTAACATTATACTCACATGTATTGGAGCAACACCTCAACTCTTGATTGAGAGAAATGTTGTTGGAAATGAGTTCCATTTGCATTTTACTTTATTGCTCAGGATACGGACTCTGGTTGATAGGGTTTGTGTTGACATTATTCTGTGCAAGGAATACATTTGAGAATGGACAATCTCCATGTGAAATGTAAACCAGCACCAAAATATCTAAGGTGGGGGAAAAAAACCTCAAATTTAATAAAGTCCAATGTCAAGTTGCCATAACTCACTGCTTAATTAAAAGCCAAGTAATTGTGCCTCACACAGGGTATATACAATTATAAGTTAGTTTTCAAGTTAATCGTCTACAGTGCTATTTTGCCTTTTAGATTAAAATACAGCCTTTTTTTCTTACTTTTTTCTAGGTTTTCATCATATTTGCCTTCGTAGTGAGAGTAATATGGCGCTCACAATGCCCTCTCTTTTTGTGTATGTTGAAGTCAAAGACTATGTACCGGATACGTGGGCAGGTATTATCAACATTAAAATGTATAGTGTATAGGGGACAACTTAATAGGAATTGGGTATACTTCCCTAAAGAGTGGAGGGAGTAAAGGAATAAAACAAACTAAATAGTGTTCGACTGGATCAGGATTCACGAGTCGTGGGTAAAAGGGTAAATATAAAAACTACTAGAAATAGGGCTGCCCAATCGGTAGATCCCCAGATGTTGCAGAACTACCATGATGCTTTGCACACCTTTAGAATGACAAAGCATCGTGGGAGTTGAAGTTCTACAACATCTGGAGATCTACCTAATGGGCAGCTCTGATTTAGAGATTTACAAATAGAAAATGGCAGGAATGTAAAAGGGCAAAAAGGTATGTGGGGTAAGAACTAATTTATAAATATAGCTGAATTAATTACTGTAATAAAATACTGAATTAAAATAAATCAATACACAAATCGAACTACAACAAATCAATAAAACAATATAAAATACTATACAATAAAAGCATGATGCCAAAGTTCAAATGCAAAAACTTCATTAAAAGTCCAAAATACAGCAAATCAAGTCTGAGTGTTGCTGTGGAACCACAGCAGCAAAGCAACGAAAAGGAAAGTGGTTACTGGGACTTAACCTTAATGTTCATGAAATCACTTTCTAAATGTAATCATTGTAAACGTGTCAAAACCCATATATCAATATCGAGGATATTTCTTGTAAATGTATAGATATAAACATCTTTTACTGCATGGGGTTTGACCTTTCTGGGTTACATCTAGCAATCTGGGCCTGGTTTACATTAGCTGGGGTCCGGGCGGCTGCATGCTTAGCCCCTCTATCCAGTTCATGGTGCCATGCTATATGCAGGATGACGATAATAACCAGCAAATGTACAGCTTAAACGATGTACAGGATTATTCACTAAAGTGAGAATTGTTGGCAATTCAAAATTAATTTCAAATTGAAGGCTACAACAAAGAACAAAATCTGCAAGTCAGCTTTCAATTTGGCCTTACATTTGGAATTCACTTTATTTTCCCAAAAATTCTCACCTTCGTTAATAGCCCTGATAGTGTACCTAAATGTCAACCTGTCATCCACAAGATTTGAGGAACACAGGTTCATTGTACGGCCATTCTTTTTTTCTTTATGGTAATACTTCCTCAGATTAACCTCTTTCACAGTGCGAAGCTGAAGGACATCTTCTAATATGACAACTAGTTCAGAGGAATATAGGCACCCAGACTACTTCAGCTCAATGCAGTGGTCTTGGTGCCAGGTCCCTCTAGTTTTAACCCTGCAGTTTCAGAGAAACTGCTATGTTTACACTGAGGGTTAAGCCAGCCTCTAGTGGCTGTCTCTCTGACAGCCGCTAGAGGCACTTCTGCCATTCTCACAGTGAAACTCACAGTGAGAAGACGCTGACGTCCATAGGAAAGCACTGAGTAATGCTTTCATATGCGCTATTTGAATGTGCGCGTGGCTCTTGCCGCGCATGCGCATTCAGTGCTGACGTCAGCAGGAGAAGGAGTGTTCCCCGGCGCTGAGATAGCCCGGCGCTGGAGAAAGATAAGTGGCTGAAGGGGTTTTAACCCCTTCAACCCAGCGTGTGGGGGGGTACCTAATGGTGCCAGAAAAACAAGTTTGTTTTCCTGGCACTATAGTGGTCCTTTAACTTACCATTTTTTTTTGTAAAAGAGATATGAAGAACTGATATTACATGGTGCAGTTACTGATTGATGGATGGTGGCTTCCTGTTTGACCTAATTATTGATGCAAGCACAAATGTATGGAAAATATGCAAAATATCCTGGCCATTTGATATTCTAAATGCAAAATGTATGGATCTGCCGAGTTTCGTGTTCTGTTTCTACCTGGGTTTACTAGGTGAACTATTGCTTTTGGATTGAACTAGTACTAACTAACTAACTATACCTATATTTGTTTTTTAGAACTTACTCATGCCCTCTCAAATCCCACCAAATTCTTCAACCCCAATGAAAAGAAGTCAATAAAACTGAAAGACGGGGCATCCTTATCTGAAGAGGTTAGTAAATAAGAAACTAATGGTAGTACTTAAAGTGTTCTGGCCCAATGGTTAGGAGCAGAATCACCTAAAAGAACTAACTGTATTTACTAATTCAATGACAATTTCTGGGAGTAGAAAATTTGCTTCATTGTAAATCCTACGTCTAAAGATACCAAACACAAGTTCCTGCTAGTTGTCCAAGGCCACCTGCCATGAACATGAAGTGAGGATTTTAAGGAGGAAAAAAGTGAGCATTGGGGTAGAAGGAATCAAATACCAGACAGACAGTGAAAGGGCCCTTTACTCCTTCCCTCCCCCTCCTGGAAGTAATAAAATGGGGCTAAAACCAGCTTTTTAAAAAAACAAAGCATTGTGGGAGTAGTTGTTCCAATGGATCTACATTTTCATACTTCTGCAACTGGTTATACTGAGCCCAATTGACAAAGTCTGGGCTGGGGAAGAATGGGATAGCTTGCAGTAGCTGTACATATAAGCCAAGATTTTATATACCCCAAATAAAAAAAGCTAAATTAATTACTTGCATATTTTGGGGGGGTTGCATCTACTAAACAGTTTTTTTATGAATTGTTCCTTTAAACAGATGAAAATTTATTTTAGATACTCTGGTATGTTTGGAAATGTAGATTTAACGACGCGTTTGTTTATCCCTATTAGAAGTCCATCGCAAACCAAGCAAATGGCAACACTGGATCAAAGAAATTGGTGCAGAATGGACCGTCAGGTAATGTACCGGTATCAAGTTATTAGCTGATTAACATTGTAATTTATATTGTATAAAGACAAAAGTCCAGTAGAGAAGTCCTACGAACACCACAACAAATTAATCTCAGTGAAGTTGTGATGGTGCCTGGAGATCCCCTGGTGCAGTGGTACATTTAAATGTTGAACCTCTCCCTCTCTTCCAGACGAAAAAGGAAGCATTAGTGTGAACATTAAGGAGGCAGCAGTGATTAACGCTATCAGCCTATCACTGGACCGCCAAAGAGAGTATGAGAAAGGTGTAAACTTCTAAGGTTTAAACTTAATTACGGTAAAGTTATTATGGTGTCCAGCAGGCCCAGACTGGCCATCGGGCACACCGGGCAAATGTAGGGGAGGTTACAGGACGCCGGCCCCACTGTATTCCATGATGGACTGGTGGGGAGATCAAAGATCTCCCTCTCTGGCCCACATGCACTACATTGTGGCCGCCGGCATGGGAGGGAGACAGGAGAGGACCCGAAGGAGCTCTATCTTGCAGCTCCACCGGGTTCCTCTCACGAGATCCGGAGCATTGCCATGGCAACGCTCCAGGTCTCACACGCGTGAACTCTAGCCACCAGCAGGGATGGTAATAGGGTCCCCCCTCCCAGGCATAAGGTAAGAAAGGAGGGGGGATATAATGCTTGTTGGCATTAACCTTCCTCCACACTGCACACCTTACACACACTACACCCTTCACACACATACACACAGCAGCCCCCAAACACACTGCACCACAAACACACACACACTACTTCCAAACATATATGTATATATACTACAGAACACCTAGCACTTTTTCAGTGGGCAGCTGTGATTAAAAAAAAAATGCCCAGGGTGAATTCTTTTCCCAGTCCGGCCCTGGTGTCCAGAGTGGTTCTTTGTGTGTTTTTGGTGCTATAGATACGATTCATACAAACCCCATGAAACTTAATTTAAACAAATTTCTAAATGCTCGCTGGAATCTTGCTAGTGTTCAGTATGTTTCTTTAGCAGCTGCTGAATACTCTCCTAGGACTGTTCGATGTCACGGAGTACAATGCACTATACATGCTCTACACCTAGCTGTGTTTAGTACAATTTCTAAACTGACTAGTAAACAAAGTGCAAGGGGCAGACATCTCAAAGCTCGTTTTTCCAACATATATTTTAGGCTCTGTCAGAAAAGGGACACAGGAGCCTGTACGAGAAGCTGAAGGTAACATTTTTCTATTTTTAGATATTTAAATATTTATCTAGTTTTTAATTTTGTTATGGAGACTAATCGCTCTAATTGCTTTAGTTATAATCGTATATGAGGGCATGGATTCTAAGAAAAGAGCCATTGTAACAGGTTTATATTATACGATGTCCCATTTTTGTTTTGTTTGCTTCCCTGTGTGGCAGTGTTTTATTTATTTACTGTAACCGACTGTAGTGAATACCCTGTGAAACAGTATGTACACGATTACATTATGGCTGATTTATGATTAAGCACTATGTCCATTTTCTGGGGACAACACATGGAATGGAGGAAGATGTCCAGTCTGAGAATGTTTACATAGATGGCCGAGAATAAGAACACACCTTGCCCATTTTTATTTATTGTGTCACTTTATTACAATGTTTACATTGATGTCCTAATACCTAACTATACAGGAATACACGTGGCTGGTTTTCTGGAAAAATAAGGGGTAAAGTTTTAAATCCAGATTTCTATGACAGTAAATTGCTTTTTTTTTTAGAACCACAAACTGCAGACCAGGATGAGCTGCAAAAGCAGAAAAGCTTCTTAAAAATCCAGAAAAAGCAGGAGAAGGAACTGAAAGACCTGGAGCGGAAGGGAATGAAGAGGAGGGAGGAAATAGTGCAGAAATACGCAAGCGCCTTCAGCACAATGCACTCGCAGAACAATAAAAAGAAATGCTGCACAAGCAGAGAAAACAAAAAGAAGAGGTAAAGCTTTGCCTGTCCTAATCCTCTGTTATAGTTGGAACTGACTCTGATGTGACTAATGTTAAGACATTAAAGGGACACTGTAGGCACCCAGACCAATTCAGCTCATTGAGGTGGTCTGGGTGCTGTGTCCCGTTTGCACTTAGTGCTGCAATGTAAAACATGGTAGTTCCAGAGCAATATTTACATTACAGCTCTAAGACTGCCCACAGTGGCTATCTACCAGACAGCCACTAGAGGGCTTCCTGAATGAAAACGGATCTTTGGTCCGTTATCTGAGGCTGGACGTGCACGAGGACCTCCAGCATCAACTTTTTCCGTGAAGGAAAGCATTGATTAATGCTTTCCTATAGGATATCATAATGTGAGCAAGACCATTGCCACACATGCGACTATCTCTTCCTACTACACTTTTTTTTACCTTGTCATCTGTCCTTGTGCTCTTTTGACACTATCGACACCTTCCTTTTCTTTATATGTTTAAATCATCATGTGTGACAAACTCCCCTGTCCTCGTGAGATGGCCATGAGCTGCTGGAGGAGCCTGCTTGACAGCATCCTGCCCACAGACTATGGGCCCTGTAATATACACTGAAAAGTCTCCATTCATGTATTTAGACTATATGGTTCGGGAACCTAACAGCCGCATGAACCGGAGACCACCCTGGAGCTTGTTAAGCCTAATTGCTACTTTGTAGCAATTTCCACCACAGTGTTCCAAATGTTCGTCTGGGTGGGCGCATTTCCTATCAACGACCACTAGGTGGCAGCCATCTTGTTCCCACGAACACAGGCAGCGGTGTTTGGTTGTTGAGTTCATGGAACTGAAAACGGACACAGAAACTCCCGAGCACCGCTGGACTTCCAGCATCACCTGCATTCGGTTCTACAACACAAAGAAAGACACTGTTCAGTGGAAATGTTCCCACGAACAAGGGAAACAAGCTCCAGGGTAAAAATATTGACTATGTTCGGTAGTTTGTTCGGTTTTAAACTACCGCACTAGACCGACCACTAGCCCTGATCTTGTGGAACTGTTTTGGGCAGGAGCTTCGTGTGCGGTCGGTCAAATTATGACTTCCCGTAAATTCCCGAACCGATCTGGGTGATTTTTAGATATGTTGGTCACTTAGATCGGGGCTATCAGGGGGTGTAACTTTAGGGGGGGGTTTTTTAATGTATATTAAGGTACTTTTGGGGTGTTTGTGAAATGTGTGGTTTTTGTGCCTGGAGATAATGAAGTTTGTACAGTTCCTGACTAAATTATCTCCCAGGCACAGTGGAGGGATGATCCTGTTTTGTGTGGGAGTGTCATGGGCGTGTTTTCTGTGACTCCAAATTGTATAAAAGCAGGCCATCTGGCCAGAATAAGCGTATTCCAGTTTGTACTCCCAGAACTATGTGTCGTCTGGTACTGGGAGTGGAAAGGGCTAATCACTGTTCCAGTGTGGAGGATTCAATGGGGAAAGTCCATGTAAGGACTAGAGCTCCCAGGACTGAGTGTCGTCCAGTGCCTGGGGGTGGATAGCGCGAGTTCCCCATACAGCTCCAGGACCCCAGTCAAGCCATGGTGACTGTGGGCAGAAGTGCTGCGGTTTGTCCCCTGTTCCAGCTAGGAAGTGGTGCTTGGCCGAGGTACCCAGCCAGAGGTACAGTGAGCTCCGTTACATCATGCTTCCTACCACCTTTTTGCAAAGCTGATTTTTTTTCCTAAAAAGACTATCCAGAACTTGCTGAGGTGCTTAGCTGCATGTCACTGCAGTCTTAATTCATACCAGGTCCAATTTTGACAGGACTGGATAGGGTTTTCTGACTCGCTTGCTTTGAACAGTAGTCCAAGATAGCTGTCAGTGCTTCCATATGAGAAGTATTGGTTTCAATGCTTCTCTGTGAGAAGTACTGTTGGTAGATCACAAAATTAATGTCATTTTTTCCCTAATGCTTTTCTTTGTGAAGCACCTGATTGTTCACAAGTCATCAGTATTGAGGACATTAGTGAGGCTATATCAGGTGACAGCAAGAAGATGCTTGAACAGGATTTTAAATTTAAAAATGGAGCATCAGTAATCTAAACAGATGAAGAAGCACACCAATAGAAAATATATGGATATATTTTATTGGAGTCCTTCTTTAAAACATAATTCTACCTACCACAATAAGCATAGGATGATCAAAAAAAGTGGGTTTAGAAGCATAGACATGTGTCCCATTAGCACAGGTTTCTGTTTTCTCGCCAATAAGTAATGGATAAGGGAAGGGATATGATGTAGGGGACTAAGCCATATATATATGTATTAGGGATCGGTACACCATAACTAATGTGAATTTAAATATCAAATCCACTATGTCAAATATCTCACAACATAGGATCTACAGATTAGCAAAGTCTGCACTGGATTCTTTACCAATGGGAATTATCCCTATTAGAACCAGATGTATAAGTTATGCCGTCTTCAGCAATCCCCATCCTTGCATTCGGTTATTTGCACCTAAATGAATACCACATTGGGATTTTTATTTTTTAGCAGTGGTTTGAGAGTAGAAATTGAAATAACTACAGCTCTAAAATCTGTGCAAACCCTATCTTGTGGGCAATTGGAACATAAATAATAAAACTTCCCATAGCATCAACTAGTTTTTTCTGTGGGTCATCTTTCTGGACTGTACTAAACAATAACAACTATTGGACACGGATCTGCTAGCCTATCAGTGACTCTCTCACACTAATATATCCTTAGGAAATCTCAGGGTTCATCGTACAATTAATCCCTTCTTTAAATAAATATATAACATTGCTGGTAATTAGGAAATGCCTGAGTCAGTGGACACAAAAAAAGGGCAGGAGCCTGAGTATCCCAATTCTTTACTGTTTGAGTAACTTGCGTCACAGATTCTCTGAATCTAATAAGGATGGAAAAATTGGATCTTACAAATGAAGGTGTATTGGTCTAATAGATGTTTCAATTGCAGAAGTATACCAGAGGATGACTATGGCGCAGTATGGGGTGCGGGTGAGATACCTGGTAAGGGAGATCCAAAGGTTTTGGAGCTTAAGGAAAAGATGGAGCAAGAATTGACACGGGCTGGAGAGGAACATTACGAGAGCATCTGGAAAAAGAAAGAGCAACATTCAATTGAGGTATGGGCAGGAGATGATGATATAATCAGGCAGAACAAACACAGGGAACCATGCAACAAGTTATCAATAACACAATATTTTCTTGCTTTGCCTACTTTAGCAGTGAAATAGCTATCTTTTATGGTCTGAGTGTCTGTTTGTGTATTCATCAGTTCCCTTAATGTTGGTATGGCAGTTAGGGTGAGTATCCTATCCTAACAAGGTTAAATAATAAAAAGATAAATTAAAGAGACATTATTGGCACCCAGGCCACTTCAGCTCATTGAGGTGGTCTGGGTACAGTATCGCTATTGCACTCAGTGCTGCAATGTTAAAAATTGCATTTCCAGAGAAACTGCAATGTTTACATTGCAGCACTAAGCCTGCCGGGGAGACAGCCACTAAAGGTGCTTCCTGGATGCAAACGGACCTTTGGTCGGGTAACTGACACTGGACGTGCTCAAGCTTTGCATGAGGACATCTAGCGTCAGACTTGTCCCCATAGGAATGCATTGATTCAATGCTTTTCTATTGGGAGGTCTAATGCGCACACAGCATTTTATGCACATTAGCGCCCGCTCAACGCAGTACAGAGGGGGAAGCAGAGCCGAGACCCAGCAATGAGAGACTTTGATACTGTGGTAAGATGAGTAAATTAAGTGTTTTTAACCTTTTATTTACTGATGGGAGGAGGGGCAAAAGGGAGGTCGGAGGCACAGATAGCTATAATGCCAGGAATACAGCTTTGTATTCCTGGCACCTATAGTATCCATTTAAGCATGTGGGAATAAATTGCATACACTTTGTGGCATACACACCCCTCTTTTGTTGGATTTTCAGACACTTCCCCTCTTAGGAACCTGGTAGAGGAATCAGGATCTGCCGGCTTCCTAAGAGACTCCTTACCAGGTGAGCGTTTCCACAATAGTGCGTTTTATTTATCACCCTATGAGAACATACTGCAATTAGGAGATATTCTCTATATTTCTTTTGTTTTATATGTCACATGGAGAGCTGCTAATATTAAAATCCAACAAAAGAGGGGTGTGTGTTGTTAGGGTGTTACAACCTTAAAGCACACAAGCGACAAAGTTTGAGCCTATATTTTTAAAAAGCACTATACCATGTGAGTTAATCTCAACTCACCTTTAAATTATATTTACTGGGTTGTTACAATATAACACTATACGTATCTTTTTATCTTTCGGTTACATGCAATATTTTATCTTCACCTAACTATTCGAGGGGTAAGTCCCAGCTTTTACATATTTATACACATTTTTAGGGCTGCACTTTTTACACTTTGTGTTTTAGGGGATTGTTACCTAAATACGGAGTGTTGTGTTTCACTATCTACTATTCCAGAAAGAAGCTGAAATTCAATATATACTAATCTCCCATTGCTCTGAATGTGCGTTCCATAGTACAATGAGATGTATTGAGATATATATGGAAAATGTATAAGTCTTGTCTGTTGTGCGTTAACAGAAAGAAAACCTTAAATGTAAGAAACTAATAAGAGCTGCAGAGAGACACGGGAGGGGATAAAAACAACCAAAGCTCTGTTCTGATGACCTATTTTGTGTTTTTAGCTACAATTCTCATTTATGAAAGTATTTTACCAGATTATAATTTTGGTTATTTTCCAACAAATGTACTTTTTTTTTTTTGTGTGAAATTTTGTGCATCCCACTGTCTAATGCAGACTATTTGCCCAGAGAAAATCTAGGGTTACATGTAGAATTGTTTAAGCAGTTAAGCCTCTGCTCCTGTGCGTCCAACTTGGCTTGTTACCAATACTTGTCTGTTACTGCACCTATCATGCAGCGCTGAGGAACTTGTTGGTGCTTAATACATAATAATAATGATGATAATGTTTTATATATTTCCCAAATAGTATTTTAAGATACGCCAAACGTGTTACGGTTTAAGTTAAATTACAACAATCAAGTCTTCATATAATTCAGTTAAGTAACATCACTGATATATATTTTTTTCTTATATTTTCACAGCAAACAGCCAAACTAATGGAGTTAGCACAGGAGAGACAGGCAGCAGAGCTGAAAACCCTGAAAGATACGGCTTACAGGTACAGTATATCTTAAAGACAATGAGGAAATGATAGCTGACCCCTGACCTGACACCATTTATGGCTAAACGGCATTTCCCATGATGCTCTGACAGTCATCATTTCTTTAATTGTCTGTAAGACACGATTATATGCCACCAAAATTGTCTGGTGTTTTAGCTTATTAGACGGCACAATTAATATGGGAAAATTAGTGTTTTTATTTAAGGTTTTAATTTTAGCTTTAGGCGTATGAAGTAAATGCAGCACGATGCATCATTTTGTTTTAAAACCCATAATTATGAATGGTAGTGTGCTACTGTATAAGTGAAGAGAAAATACATCAACATATAACCACACACTTGCATATCTTCTTTAGAAATATAGATATATAGATTTTGTTTAAATGGAAACACAAGGCTGATTTTCATTTTAATTTGGCAAAACAATCAAGTCACTTAATCTAGAATTCAATCCAAAATACCAAGACACACCAAAGTGTGCTGACTTCATAACGGAGAGTCAGACAGATGGGTATAGAAAACAAAGCTTGGTTTACAGATTCACAACACATTGAATCCTTTTGTATTTCCACTGTAGGGAGTTGTATGGTGTTTGGCCTCATCCTAATCTTTTTGGTATCTAGCTATTGGCTTTTTAGCACAGGAAAAAAGAGGGGACAGCCTGTCACACCTGTTCACTGAGATATCATATGACTCTCTGGTAGGCCATGCACCATACAAACCTGTCCAAAGTCTATATATTATTTATTTTTTTTATCAGTTTCTCTGCTTTCTGTATCCTTTTTGGATGTAAACCAGCACAGACAAATAATATATAAATGGGAAAATATAACCCAGAACTTAAAAGACCTGCCTTATTTCACGATGAAGAGCAATCTCTGTGTGCGTAATGCAGTGCGAGGGTTGGGTGAGGTCCTTGCGCGTAACTGATGTGTATTTTTTCAGTGACACTAAACAGATGAAGAAGAAGCTGGAGGTTAAGAGAATCGAAAGGCTTGAATCTGTGAGCAACAATACAATGGACAAAGCTGCTCAGGAAAGGTGCTGTTACGTGTCTACTGATCACACAATTTTAAGCAGAAAGTTCACTTGTAACAATGAGTAATTAAATAAAACAAAAATGCTGAGAAATGAGCCTACATTGTGACTTTTTATTCATATCACAATATGACAGTCTAGATTGCAGAGAGCGCGATCCAGATTGATTCTGGTCAGTTTTAATGTGCATTGTATCAGATTTTATTGTTTAGTGTTATATTTGCTGAATGCTGATTTGTTTTTTGGCCTGTGTGTTGTCAGGTTAAAGAAGGAGATGAATAATTCCCACATCCAAGAGGTGGTGCAGGTCCTTCAGATGGTAAGTGCCATCATTAAAATGTCTAGTAGATCGTGGTTCTGGTGTGTTACGTGCATGTTGTGCCTCGAACCTACAGCATAGTCGGTGCAGCATGAAACTGTGTCATGGATCTGAGCAAGCCAGACAGGACCTGTAATAAGGCAGTAATCATGGAGGGTAAATAAAACCCACCCAACTATGTTGGATTTTAAATAGTCGTTGTAATTAAGGTAGGATTTGGCTATGTATAACTGGAGTGCAGAGTTAAAGGAGCACTATAGTTACTCAGACCACTTCAGCTCAATGAAGTGGTCTGGGTGCCAGGTCCCCCAGGTTTTAACCCTGCAGCTGTAAACATCAGCAGTTTCAGAGAAACTGCTATGTTTACATTACAGGGTTAATCCAGCCTCTAGTGGCTGTCTTACTGACAGCCGCGAGAGGCGCTTCCCCAATGCTCAATGCGAAAATCGCATTGAGCACACAGAACGTCCATAGGAAAGCATTGCAAAATGTTTTCCTATGTGTGGTTTGAATGCGCGCGGCTCTGACTGCGTATTCGGCTCTACTCAGGAGCTGACGTCGGAGGGGGAGGAGAGGTCACCAGCATAGAGGGAGCCCGGCATTGGATTAAGGTAAGTGGCTGAAGGGGGGTCCGGAGGGTGGGGGGGGACCTAAGGACTATTTAGTGCCAGGAAAACAGGTTTGTTTTCCTGGCACTATAGTGCTCCTTTAATCCCGGGCAAAAGGCTGCACACTGCCATTAACCATACTCTAATAGGAGGGGTTAATAATTATACAAACTACACATACAGAGATTAAACCATCTGCTGACAGAGGAATAAAAACCCTTCGGCAGCTCTATAGGATGTCATGAGCCAACCTGGAAACTAGAGTTCAGGGCTGGCTAATATTTTATTGCGCAGAATAACCATCATTGGCTAAGAACGGTCACCTGACGCTCACAGCCAATAAATGATGACCACTACGGCTTCTGCAGCAGCCAAAAGTCAATCAGAGCCTGGCAGGGACTCACATAAAATCAGTTTGCCCCATGACCTGGCCAGGATACTCTTGGTACCATGTAACTTGAATTACTCGTGTAACCTGGAGTCTGTATGTGCAACATTTCGCTATGAAACACTGCACATACAGAGATTAACCCCTCTGCTGCCGGAGTTGTAACTCCACCGCTGGTAGCATCATTAGCGGGATTTCTGAGAGGTTAATGTGAATTCTGTGCAAATTAGTGTTTTAGCACCAGACAGTCAATGGTGGCATGCTTCCATGCTGCCTAAGTCCTCCGCCCCCCTCTGGTGAGTAAAGACATCGGGCAGCATTGATAACTTGGCTTCAGTGTTGTAGTTAAGTCATTTTTGCTGTTTTCGTAATGTTTGGAGTGGATGCGGTGGAGAAGGGTTACTCTGACCAAAAACAGTATTTTTATTATGTTTTGAAACATTGTTTTTGGGTTGGAGTAAACCTTTAAAGGAACACTATAGTCACCTAAATTACTTTACACTAAAACTGCTTTATTTAGCTATAGATCATTCCCCTGCAATTTCACTGCTCAATTCACTGTCATTTAGGAGTTAAATCAAATTGTTTCTGTTTATGCAGCCCTAGCCACACCTCCTCTGGCTATGATTGACAGAGCCTGCATGAAAAAAAAAACTGGTTTCACTTTCAAACAGATGTAATTTACCTTAATTTACCTTAAATAATTGTATCTCAATCTCTAAATTGAACTTTAATCACATACAGGAGGCTCTTGCAGGGTCTAGCAAGCTATTAACATAGCAGGGGATAAGAAAATCTTAATTAAACAGAACTTGCAATAAAGAAAGCCTAAATAGGGCTCTCTTTACAGGAAGTGTTTATGGAAGGCTGTGCAAGTCACATGCAGGGAGGTGTGACTAGGGTTCATAAACAAAGGGATTTAACTCCTAAATGGCAGAGGATTGAGCAGTGAGGCTACAGGGGCATGTTCTATACACCAAAACTGCTGCATTAAGCTAAAGTTGTGCAGGTGACTATCATGTCCCTTTAACTTTAAAATGCACAACAAAAAATAACAGCTACACTGAAAAATAAAACCAGACTTTGGAGGCCTTGGAAAAAGGCAATATTTGAAAATGTAAAACTACTGTAGGCTTGCGGCATACAGATTTGTTTTTATTTTAAATATATTGTCAACAGGACAACTACAGCTAAATGTAGTTATTGTTGTCCTAATGAGTAATATGCAAAAATGTGTAAAAAAAAAAAAAAATGTGTAAAATGTTGGATACTGTGCCTTTAAGAGCTGCAAAACAAAACAGAAGTGAAGGTATAAATGCTAAGTGGCATATAAATGCAGTGAATTTTTTTTCACAAGTCAGCTCCTTGTATCCATGCACTATCCCCTAGAGTGCTCTTCTTGTTATTAGTTATAGGTTTTTGTGAATCCCTATTATTTCCAGTCTGAGCGACTTAGTGCCAGTTTAACTCCCTCTCCTCTGTGCACACAATAGGTTTTTATCCCATTGTTGTCCTAATGCCTATAGCCTGTCCCTGCAAGCTTTTCAATGTAAACTCTGCCTTTTCAGAGAAAAGTATTGTTTACATTGCTGCCTAGTAACACCTCTAGTGGCAGTCACTCAGACGGCCACTAGAGGTGCTTCCTGGGTCAGTGCTGCACAGTGTAATTGTAGAGGAATAGATATAGATGAATTATGGGTCAGTGAGTGGCACTGAGGTTCATCTCCACACAGTGCATTAGACATTGAATGTTCTTTATAGAGATGCATCTCCATGAGAACATGTTGATTGGCATAGTGTTTTGCTGCACATGAGTTCCTATGAGTAAGCATTACATTGGCTGAGATAGTCATGTTTGATGAACTCAGCCTAGGAGGCAGAGTGGGGCGGGACCAGCCAAAACAAGCCCTGCATGCACTAGAAAAAAGGTGAGTTTTACATTGTTTTTCAAGTAAGCACAGAAGGGCAGATGGCATGAATAGTGATTTTAAAACTATGATGTCAGGAATGCATGTTTGTATTCCTGACACTATAGAGTTCCTTTAATACTACTTTCATATTTAATTCAAATTTTGTTTTAGTTAATTCAGAATACGTTTTGTTAATTTATAGCTTAGTTTTATTGCATGGACAAATATATACCTGTATCTTTTGGTTTTAGTACTTTAGCATTTTAGAGAGATTTCTATGCAAATATGCAAGACCTGTACATTTAAAAGTATACTAACTTTAAAAATTAAAATGTATATTTTTGAACTAACCAGTCATGATAGATTCACTTTAACTGTAATCTCCACCCAAGGCAATGAATAAAACATTTATCATAGAGATGCATCATATATTCGGTGTAAATTTTGTTAGATAAGAACATTTCTTACCTTCAGTACAGCTTCTCTATGGCATTATATTACTGTAACAACAGCCTCCAGCAACACCGGTGTCCTGTCCATGCTGTGCCTTGATTTGCTCTGCTTGGTAGACCAAACCTTCTACATGGCTCAGACACCAGCGCATAAACCGTGATATCAGTTGCCTGTTCCTATACTCTTTAACCACCACTGGAGTAACCATAGCATTCACAGCGCACGCCTTGTGAAAGCCTTTTCTACTCTCTATCGATAAAGTCTATTTTTGTTGTTGATATATACTTAAGCTCTTGTTTACAAACTGTTGTAGTAGTTATGGTGCCAGGGGTGCTCGGGTACCCCCCCACCCCTCCCCAATGTAAGTGGTCAAACCATTTGTTAATGGTTTGTCAACTTAACCGGGGTTTGCTGGGTTCCAGTCATTCTCTGTAGAAGCTGAGCCCGGCTGTGCAGGGTTTAGCTCATTGGCTGAGAGTGATCAGTTGATACAGAACTTGGTTCAGAAGTGCAAGCAGAATCTCTGGGCAGGAGCTTAAAGCACCCAGCAGACCCCAAAAATTATTCTCCAGTCATTAGCAAACACTACTGGTATGGAATAGGGCACCATAACCACTATACTGTGCTGTAGTAATTATGGTGCTTGGAGTGTTCCTTTAAAAGAAATGGGGCGTAGATAGCATTTAGCCTTTTACAAGCATCTATAAAGTGTGTTTTAGAATTTCACTTCAACCAAATATTAAAATATAAACTATATATTGTACATGAAATAAGTCACAAATGTATAGATTAAATACCGATTGTACTTCCATGAACCAGGCACGATGGATTTGGGAGCGCTAACTGCAGCGAGTGTGGCTTTATATAGGGCGATGCCTATTTATGTCCCAATTTCTTTTAATGATGGATATATCATATTGGTTGGCAGTGATTGCTGTATGGTTCATACTTTATACTACTTCTTTTTAGTTATCGGATAAATGGGACAACCAGCAGAAAAAACTAGAGGAAAAACAGGCGGAGGGTTTACAGAAGATCAGAAACAACGGAGAGCAGGTAATATGTCTACTGCGTGTAATAAATGAAAATGTCATTATTCATTCACGCAATTCACGTAACAGATTTCCTCACGTAAGTAACATTTGTCTGGATTCTAACCCAACTTGCAAATGTCTAGTAAAGAATTCCTTTTTCCATTGATCAAATTTTGGGACTTCAGAGGCTCAAGCTAAAGATCCCTTATAAAAGCAGGAGGAGGGAGATCACAATGCTCTTCATGTCAAAGCTGTCATGATTCTCCCTAGTCTGTTTTACTGTAACCGAGCCTCAAGCAGCCTTGCAAATGTAGGGGAGGTTATGATGGGCATCTGACTCCCCTTTCATCCCGTAAGACATGCATCTGTCCTGGATGTTGTTTTAAACAAAAGAGAAAGTAGTCTCCCTGTGTGAACAATGCAAATAACTGACGGATATGACAGTATATTTGGCACATGGGAAAACCATACATAGAGAAAGCAAGGAGATACCAAAACATTATGAAAAACAACAAACAATTCAGGCCCTATACAACATCTAATTCATAAACTCTAAAACAAATTTTGTTTTTAAATTACAATATTTCTGAATTAAAGGGACACTACAGGCACCCAGACCACTTCAGCTCATTAAAGTGGTCTGGGTGCACTGTCCCTTAACCATGAAAAGGTAATTATTGTAGTTTTGAATAAACTGCAATAGTTACCTTTGAGGGTTAACTCCACCTTTAGTGACGGACAGCCACTAGAGTGACTTCCAGGTCGTTAGGCGACTTTTGGTTGCTTAACTGAAGCTGGACGTTCTTACACTATGCATGAAGACATGCAGCGTCACCTAAAACCTCATATGGCGGATTTCCTGATGCCATCGTCGCGCATGCATATTCGGTTTCCCCCGCTTGCTGATGTCGACGGGGGAGGAGCCTGAAGTGACAGAAGTGAGTTTTTTTTTAACCCCTTCTGCACCACTGGGGATGGGGACACTATAGAGAGCTATAGTGCCAGGAAGAAAAAAAAAAGAAAAAAGTTTCCTGGCACTATAGTCTTTGTGAACAGTCCAAAATGTACAAGGCATTTAGCAAATACATGGGCTCATTTAACAGGAGATAAAAGTTATGGTTAAATGTGACCTTGCAGGCTGTCCGCAAAAGAGTCCTCATCTGGAAATCAGACTGTCAGCTCTGCAGACGATATACAGATGTGTGTGACATAGCCTATTGCTTCGAAGCTCCTATATTTATCGATATCTCAAAAAGCAATCAGCCAGTGATTCCGGCACATTTTACACAACAATGTAGCTTGGGATAGACGATTAACTAGATCTACAATATGAACAACATTTTTATCAATACTTTTAAGAAAGATCCAGTTTCTATCTAACAATCAGGGACAATGCAATTATAATACAGATATACTTTGCTTCGTCAGGTAGCCTTGTATAATAATGCTATTTAAAACTACTTGAAAAGGAAATGATCTTGGTAGCATTTAGTTTTATAGGAGCACATTAACATATTTCCAACATTGACTTCCTGGGAGTAGTCTGCATTACCAGCCAGATCAAACATTGAGGGTTCTGTATAGAACAAGTCTGAAAAGTGGAGCAAGTATGGAAAAAGGGTGAAGTCACTAATGCACACTGGTTTCCATAGCGATTGCCCCACTTTTAGAATTTGAAAGCACTTTTTTTTTCCCACTTCGTTATACTGGCCTTAACTTTGAATTAACTTACATATAAATACATAAATGCAGTTACAGATCCAAATAGGCAATGACTTACTTTTTGTGTTGAACAGGCTCAAAAAACATTCCAAGCAGAATACGAAGAAAAGCTTACGAATTTAGGAACTGAAGTGTCAGACTCGGTGCACAGTTGCATGGTATCCTTATTTCCTGTGGAGGCTGCAATTGTTAAAAAGGACACACAGAATTGTGCAATGAACAAGTGGGAATTTCTCTTCGCAAAAACGGACTTGGGAGAATCATTGGCAAAGAAGGAAGCAACCAATGTGGAAGACATGACACAAAAAGCCATGGATGAGATTTCTAGTGAAGATCCAGTGGTGGCCAAGACTACTACAGAGGATCTATCTGACAATGACACAACAACAATGGCATTGGCTAAATCAGCTCAAGTAGAGACCAAAGATGAAACAGCTAAACTTATTCCAGAAGAGTCTTCACATTAAGGTTTCATGCTGGATGCAATCAACTGTTATTGGGTTCTGAAACACTAGACATGTTCTCTATCAATCTATCAAGAAAAAAACAAAACTATTTATACAACAGTTATCATCAAAAGACAATGTCCTGGTCCATTAAGTACGTCCGGTAGACACGCCTTCGGTTACACCCAAAGCAGCTTTATAGATGTTTAGATGACTTGCGTACAAATCCGTTTCAGCTACGTTGAGCCAACTAAATTCCTGTTAATCCATGCCCGGTCAAATCAATCCAGCCAGGATTTACCTGTGTAATCTTAAGACAATTTGTTTCGGCATAAATCAACTGGAACTTGATTTGTTTGACACAGCTGAAAAATATTTGTGCACAAGTCTAGAGTTTAGAAATGCTAATTATGTTAATAATGTTTTTATTCTCCTCTTGTACAACTAATACCGCTTTTATTTATATTTATATACACACATACATGTGCCTTCTTTCTCATCTGTAGAGACTCCCTTTGCTATCTTCCTTCAATCACTTTCTACACATATCTAATACTGCACAAGTACTTTCAGTGTCTGGATGTGCAGCTAGCAGGATTTCATTTCAAACTAAACGACTCAGTGGAAACAATTGGGGATATTTTTAAAGTGGGATTGTGGATCAAAGTGCTAAAAGCGAAGCAATTGCCATGGATCCAATGGAATGATTCTGCCGATTACTCCATATACAACACGTTTCTCCACGATCGCTCTTAAAAGCAAACATCCCATAGACCCTCCTGGAAACCACATGGCCAGATGGTCAGACTGCATAAATACATTTGCAACACACACTGGTAAATAGTGAGATTGGAGTGTTGCAGCTACCTCCTTGGTTGTACAAGATCAGAGAACTGCAACTAGTTTAACAATATTAGTGGCGTTTATTAATGGGAAATGTATTCCATTACTGTTTGTGTATGTCTCTTTATATATACTGTAACTTAAATAACTTGTTTTCATAAGTAGCACAATTAATGTCTGATCGAATATATAAATCATGCACTCAGTGGGTCCCACAGCTGACTTTTTATATTGTGGAAAACGGAGCTGGACTCACTCTGGGTTTTTCAATAAAATGTGATTTTTTTGGAATTTAAACAGATTTTGAAATGTTAGGCCTTCTCTCCAAGTATCACCTCTCCCATTTTATTTACTTGCCTTTATATTGTCCTCTTCCTAAAGTTCTCATTTTGGTTTTCTCCGGTCTTCCTGTTCCATGATATAACATACTTTTGGATACCTGGCTGAGTAAATAATGATAAAATGTAAACAAAAAATAGATTGCAATAACTAATTGGGCCGCAATACAAATTCATGTGCCACCGCCATATATTGTATCAAGGTTATTCAATAAAGTTTAACTTGTCAGAAATGCATCATTTTTAACCAGAATAGCAGATTGGGAGAATTTTTCTAGTTAAGCTTTAATTATTATTTTTTAATGAATAACCCGGAGAGTTTTCGGATATAAAACAGGATGTAAGCAAGGATAAACGTAGTCTAACGTGTATATATATACACACCTGAAACCAATTTGCAAATATCTTTTAAAATGTCCTTGTATAGACAACCTGCCCCTTCAGTTGTTACAGAATCCTCTCCCAATACATCAAGGTCATGTAACCTAAAAGAACAGAAGTGTCTGGGATTACATATGTCCGGTGGTATTTTTTATATATATTATATAAATAAATCTTATGAACAGTTATGTATTTATATTTTAAACAAGAGAAAAGTCTCTGGTTTCTATCTAGTTCATGGTATGTGAGTTTGTGGCATTTCCTTTGTGAAAGATAAATGGTACTATATTTAAGGTAGATTGTAGGATGTTTAAAATAATAAAAACATTTCATGTAAAACTGAGTTCCTTTATTTGGAGACAAATATCATACACGTCAAAAATGGGGGTTTTGGGGGGGAAAACCCAAAGCAATAGATGAATATATCAAACTGAAATGGTTACAAAATGTCAAAATCTATGTTGTATCATAAAGAAGGATTTTGAGCAGAAATGTATCATTGTATTTAGTCTTTGCAAGTTACAGACAGTAACTAGTTCTTTCACAGTCATTTGCGTCTTAGAGATATTGGAATGGGTAGTGTCAAACTATGTTATACCGGCCAACGTCGGCAAGTATAGAGCCAAGACAGAGAGGGATGCAGAAAGTTTTTGTCTGACTTACGCCGTGTGATTATATCCCGAAGCACCCGAAGATGGGGAAAGAGCGTATACAGCCCTAACCAGCTGTGGGTACCGATAGTGTTAAGACAACATCCTCCATTGTAAATTGTATGGAGAGGAATGTTCTAAACACTCACGCTATCCATGGTGTGCTTGGAGGTGTTCTATGGCCTCCAATGAAAGAGAGACAAACAGATACAGCAACGTCATATACGGCCGCAGTTCTAGTTGCAATCAGGACTATGTAATAGTACCGATCACAAGCTAAGTGCTGGCAGGTTTTACAATGCACGACACAAGCCACCTATGCCACAGTGCATTATCCCATGCTGCTAAACAGGAATTGTACAATATTATACTGGAGGAAATCAGGCTTTCTTTAAGATCTATTCTTTTTACTGAGGTTTTCAATAAAACAATACAGTGCAATAAAAAAAACCCAAACAAAACTATCCTAATGTTTTGCCATACTAGAGGAGAGAAGCAGAGATATTTTATTCTTTACTCACCTGCTAACAAATCACGTGACCAGTCTCTGTGTCATCTCTCCTACCAGCTACTGCTTGATCTACTGTAGTTCTACCCAGATTAGGAAGTAACTAACATGTGAGCCAATCACAGTCCAATGGCAGTACTGTTTCCGAATATATAAACTCCCACATGTTTACAGGATATTTTGGTTCACCATTATTTTGCTAACATTTGAAAATGTGAATTAAACAGATCCCACAAGCTGACAGCAACCATGGTCTAACAATACCTCTATTCAGGATTTTGTGAATGCAGATATACCCAGATGTGGAAAGCTGTGGATACAAAGTGCTGCCATGTGTTATGTAGCATTCATATGCTGCAGGAGGGAAATTGTTTAAGCACAATAGTTTGCCAAGGAGAAGTTGAAGAATTCATACACTGCACGTGAGCACTTTTCTTTGGACTGTCAATCGGCACATTAAAGAGAGAATTATCGAACTTTCCTCATAGAGATGAATTGATTTACTGCAACTCTATGAGGAGATGCTGATTGGCCGGGGCTGTGTTTGGCTTGTGTTGGCACTGCCCCTGATCTCCCTGCTCGACAAGCTGAGCCAATCCTTTAAGAAAGCATTGTGATTGACTGTGATCATCACTTCTGATGATGTCAGCCAAGAAGGCAGATGAGGGGCATAACCAGCACCAGCAGGCTTGAATAAACATAAGATTTTACTATATTTAGGTGGGTTGGATAGTGTTTTTAACACTATAGCGTTAGAAATACATGTTTCTGTTCTTGACTCTATAGTGTTCCTTTAAGCAGGGTAAAAACAACTCCATTTTGAGGTGAGCACAATACAGGACCCAAGTAATTTCTCTTTTAACTGATGCAATGAGTAGGAAACTAGTCTGCATCTAGCTAGTCTAAACTGTTTCTCTTCATTGTACTAAGCACGGTCCCTAGCCAAAGGCTGTAACAGAGGAGAATTCTTTCCCATGACACATGCTTTGTCCTTTTTTCCATTGCTCGTTGTGGCACAGAACATGCCTAAGGGATCGGTTACAGTTCTGACACCCTTTCACCTGTTCCACAGCTGATGTAATTGTTAACAGGTGAGAAGATTCCCTGAAATGCAAAACACTTTCATCTATTTCTTTGTATTGATCAACAAGTGACACACCTGCTGTCAGACAAGAGGATTCCCAGAAATGCAAAATACTTCTTAGATAGCTTTTTAGTACTTGAAACAGGATTTAGTAATGAAGACAGTGATTTACTATAGGCACCCAGACCACCTCAGTTCATTGAAGTGGTCTGGGTACATAGTCCCAAGTCCATTAACTCTGCAAAGGTAATTATTGCAGTTTTTTATAGTAATTACCTTTGAGGGTTTAGTCCACCTCTAGTGGCTGTCTACCTGGCTCTTAGGCGACTTGCCCAACTGACGCTGGATGTCCTCACATTATGCATGAGAACATCCAGCATCACCCAACACTTTCCTATGGGGGAAGTCCTAATGCGAGTGCTGCGTTCCCCGAGCATGCGCATTATGTCCCCCACATGCCAAGTAAGACCCCAAGAGATTGGTCCAAGAGATCTTCACTAGTGAGGATCTATTTGTAATAGTGCGGTGTGGAGACTCTCTCACCAATGGATTAGATGTAACTGTTTTTAGACATTTTAGTGGTGCATGACACTTAAGATAACTGACATGCAACAAAATAAAAACATGTAAAAAAATATTGCATTTGGCAACGTTTCTACATAATTACAATGGATAACAAAAGAAAATCTGCTTCTCTCTCTCTCCTATGTATAAGGTTAGAAAAATGTTTCAAACAGAAAAAAAACTATAGGACTTACCCCCAACCATTTTCTGCATGGATATTTTGCAGGCCAGTAAACCCAATGAAACCAACAACGTGCTGCAATTAAACATAGTATTGAAAATGGTGAAATATGAATCACTGAGTTAGCCATTACAACAGAAATTATGAAGAAATAGCAAGCGTATTGCAGATTTTAACCCCAAGTAGGTTAACTGGAAAGATTCTGGTTGCCTAATATTTGCAGTCCCTTGCCATTTTCATCTTGGTGAATATCTGAATTGTGTTTTGCTTAAATTGTCTGTTATAAGAAAACATTTGTTTTAAAACATTCAAGAAAACCAAATTAAAGGAAAACGTGTCACTATGAAGCTCTGTTATTTGCTGGTATACTTACACATACCAGTTTGCAATTTCTAGAAAAGAGGGGCATTTAGTTATAACAGAAGGAGAAAAGGGGCACTAGTTAGGTATATTTTAAGGCAGGGTAACTGTTACTTTAAAAGACGTGTTTATCCCTTTTGAACAAAAAGTCAGTAAAGATGCACAGAACGGCTGTTTTGGAATTGAAATGGTTTTAATTAGCCATCTGCACCTGGTACTAGAATCATAGGGAATATAAAAGCTGGTCCCAGGAGCTTACATCTTATGCCCAAAGTGCATCATAATAACCACAATTCACAGTTGCACAAATTCACCTTGACTGCTCTACCGCTGTCTGTATTGTGGGAACTAGCTTTACAGCACGAACACCGTAACTCTCCGCAGCGTGAATTGTCGTGAATATAAGGCAAATTTAAATCTTAATGTCCCATTTATCAAAGTGAAAATGTATCTACGGAGAAACTTTCCAATTTGGCCATTTAAAATTCCCTCTGAATTCCTGATAAACCGCGCTTTAGCTACAGTCATGAAGTGCTCTACTAAATTATTCAGAACAGACACACACAAACAAAGCAAGACAAACTCACAGATACAATATAAAAAAACAAAACAAAAAAAAAAACAGTATAAATTTCTAATAAAGCATGCCATACAATATGAATGTTTTGTACATTCACAGATATAAATAAATATATAATGTATAGGATTATGATATAAAAAGATAACATATACCTCTACACAACAAAGGCGGGTACAATATCATTATCAATTATTTATATATATATAAATAATATGAAAAACAACATATGGTTTAAACTTTTATAATAAAAGACACTGGGAAATATTTCTCAATAATAATGTTTATATCGGTGAATAAAGCACAGACACGGTGTATTAGGAATTTGCTATACAGTACGATGTGTGGATATTGCGGTAAAGGAACATACAGATACAGTGTAACAAACCAAAACTACTGGATTGTAAAAAGGCAACTTCTAACGTTATCCTGGCAATTTGAACTGTGGGCACTAGATACAAACTATAAGTGCCCTGGCAGCTTCCCTTGGTAAGTAGTCAAACCATTCCATGCACCTTAACCCCTTAAGGACCAAACTTCTGGAATAAAAGGGAATCATGACATGTCACGTGTCCTTAAAGGACCACTCTAGGCACCCAGACCACTTCAGCTTAATGAAGTGGTCTGGGTGCCTGGTCCAGCTAAGGTTAACCCATTTTTTTTTTTATAAACATAGCAGTTTCAGAGAAACTGCTATCACTGGCGGATCAGTGGGGCAACGGGGCAATTGCCCCCCCCGAGAAATCCGCCGGTCTCCCCTCTCCCCTGCCAGGACATGCAGGTGCTAGCCCTGCAATGTGCCTGCGGACCGGAGGGGAGATCTGAGATCTCCCTCCCCGGTCCGCAGGCACATTGCTGACTGCCGGCAGGGGAGGGAGAGGGAGGACCCGGGAGCTCAGTCTGCAGCTCCTCCGGGTCCTCCTCTCGCGAGATTTGGAGCGTTGGCAACGCTCCAAATCTCGCGAGAGTGAACTCTAGCCCGGGAGCGCGGGCTAGAGTTCACTGTAACCACTGGGACCACCAGGGATGAAAATATGTCCCCCCTCCTCCTCAATAAAGGTAAGAAGGGAGGGGGGACATAGGATATTTATTTTTTTTAAATAAATAAAGATATATATTATTAAAAAAAGCCCCCCCCATACCCTTAACACACACACACACACATGCCCCCTGCTGCCCCCCATACACACATACTGCCCCCATGCTGCCCCCATACACACATATACAATACTGCCCCCCATACACACATACTGCCCCTATACACATACTACTGCCCCCATACACACATACTGCCCCCCCATACACACACATACTGCCCCCCATGCTGCCCCCCATACACATACTACTGCCCCCCATACACACATACTGCCCCCATGCTGCC